ACAATGTGTACTATATGTTCATCATCATATTTATCATCCTACTAACATTTTTCACCAGAGCACTTTGACATTTTCAGGTTACAGATGGTTATAAATTGCCGTTCAAGATAGAGTGAGTACTCTGGGTTTCTGGGTGATTTGTAAAACAGTAGAGGTTAGCACCAATATTCACATGGTTGACCTGTGAATGCTGATTCCCAGCGCCAGTTTAGTATTGGAAGAACGTACTGCGCCTGTGTGATACTAGATTTTTCACGGTTTTCGTTGGATGTTTGGTCAACATTGCAAGAATTTTGCTTGTTGCAGAATTCAATATCTTTTGTGACACAAAATTTTAAAACTATAGACGGGCTGTCAACCATGATTACGTGAATACAACCTTAACCGAAACATTCTATGTTTTTTTGGTTCCTTTCCTAATAATACAAATTGTACTATAAATTGGATTGTTGGATGTTTGGTCAACACTGCAAGAATTTTGCTTGTTGCAGAATTCAACATCTTTTCCATCACAACATTTGAAAACTATAGACAGGCTGTCATCCATGATTACGTGAATACAACCTTAACCGAAACATTCTATGTTTTTTAAATAAGGTCCTTTCCTGATGATACAAATTGTACTATAAATTGGATTGTTGGATGTTTGGTCAACATTGCAAGAATTTTGCTTGCTGCAGAATTCAATATCTTTTCCGACACAACATTTGAAAAGTATAGACGGGCTGTCATCCATGATTACGTGAATACAACCTTAACCGAAACATTCTATGTTTTTTTCAGTTCCTTTCCTGATAATACAAATTGTACTATAAATTGGATTGTTGGATGTTTGGTCAACATTGCAAGAAATTTGCTTTTTGCAGAATTCGATATCTTTTTCGACACAACATTGGAAAACTATAGACAGGCTGTCATCCATGATTACGTGAATACAACCTTAACCAAGACATTCTATGTTTTTTTTTTCAGTTCCTTTCCTGATAATACAAATTGTACTATAAATTGGATTGTTGGATGTTTGGTCAACATTGCAAGAATTTTGCTTGTTGCAGAATTCAATATCTTTTTGGGCACAACATTTAAAAAGTATAGACGGTCTGTCAACCATGATTACGTGAATACAACCTTAAACGAAACATTCTATGTTTTTTTCAGTTCCTTTCCTGATAATACAAATTGTACTATAAATTGGATTGTTGGATGTTTGGTCAACATTGCAAGAATTTTGCTTGTTGCAGAATTCAATATCTTTTCCGACACAACATTTGAAAACTATGGACAGGCTGTCATCCATGATTACGTGAATACAACCTTAACGGAAATATTCTATGTTTTTTTTAGTTCCTTTCCTGATAATACAAATTGTACTATAAATTGGATTGTTGGATGTTTGGTCAACACTGCAAGAATTTAGCTTGTTGCAGAATTCAATATCTTTTCCAACAAAACATTTAAAAACTATAGACGGGCTGTCATCCTTGATAACGTGAATACAACCTTAACCAAGACATTTTATGTTTTTTCTTTCAGTCCTTTGCCTGATAATACAAATTATACTGTCTTTTCAATTCCAAGTCTCTTGCATACATGCTCTGCATCCCTTTTTGACAGATAACGTTTTATACAATGATTTATTGGTAAGCCTTACCGGTGGCAACACTGTAACCTGGCATCAGACAGATCCGTATCATACCAATAAACCGAGCTGGAAGCGAGTCAATATTACTTTACCTCACATGATAACGATATACACTTTTCTAACTCAGTCTTGATTTATGATGTCTTCAAATCAAACCCTCTCTACTTTATTATAAGAGTGACTCTTGAAGTAATGCCCGTCAGGAAAAATGGATTTTCCCCAGTTTTCCTTGAAGTACCCATTTATCTTCTACTAAAGAACTCCACGCGTCGAAGCCTTGCCTCGGCTTCCTTGATCTAGCTGAAGAGCTGCGTAGTAATCAGGATAAAGATGTTACTTGTCAAACATAACCCTGAGGAAAAATGGCTGCTTAATGCTCGTGGTGAGACATTAAGACCCACCATCTATCTTGGTAAAAAGGAGGAGTACAGATGATAGTTTACAACCGGTCGCTGTATCTTCTTCAACGTAATGTATATCTCTTGTGAAAGTCAATACAACTGAGGGGCCTGCATACACATTTCAGTAAGGCTTCGGCAAGCTGTTTCAACTTCCCAGATTTTGTAGGCCCTGCTACTTGATTTCACATAATTTGCAGTGAAGCAGCAAAACTTTAATGTAAGACACAGCAGTCCGTCCCTTCTTGAATTTAGCGCAAAGCATTGATAGGACTATTTCATGCAGGTACCCTTCTTGTTTCAAAGGTACATCCTAAGTTTTTAAAGACAGTTCTTCAGAATCTTTCATCTATCTTACCATTAAACTGAGTTGAGAGGGTGTCTTTTTTATCTGTATCCATCTTTCTTCCAAGTGCTTACTGTACAGGTATGTCTCATAAGGTTATACTGTATTTCCAAGTCAAATTTCCACATTTTGTTCTTTTAGGGGTGCCTCAACACAAGCAGATAAGATTACGATACAGGTGGGATATTCTTGGACTGTAGGTTTGCCCATCCCCCTTTTCATTCTTCCTGTAACAGGAGTAAGGCATGAATGGGGACATCGCTGGTCCACTGGCCACCAGAAGGGGACCCCCAAAGTAGCAGATGTTTTATTGGGAGAAGCCAGGGACCAGCTGTTAATGACCCCCCATGACACACACTGATGAGCACTGATTGGGAGGGGGGGCATTCTCAGCTGTCGTCCTTTTGACAGTCTGGACAGCGCTCGCTCCAAATGGAAACTTCGCTGGATAACGTCAGCACCCAACTCGTCACAGGTTATCCCACCAGACAAAAAACCGTTCCTCCAAACTCCATCAAAGCTGTCAGTGTGGACATTGAAAAATTAGTTACACGGACCCAGATTCGATAAAGCTGCCAGGCAAATTTGATTCCGAGACAGAAACTGGCATCAAATTGGTACAATAACATACTTGAAAGCAATCGCTGGTGGCAGAGATCCAGCACTGGAGGCCTTCCAAAAATGGCATTAGCGTGCACTTGAAATTCTAGCACTGTTGATGTGATAGCCTCGGGGCACGTAAGAGTCACGATGAGGAAAGACGAGCTTACACGCCCTACTACATGACTGGTGCAGCTTGCATGTTCTCCATATAGGGCGGTACAGAGTACTAAGGTGACCAGGAGAAATGCTTCGCACTTCTTAGACAACTAAAGACTCGTGCCGGCCCTGTGGGAGGGCGGATAGCTGGAATATCACTTCAAAATATCAAAGAGGGAGCCTAGTCCCACCCTCTTAGCGGGACATCCACCCTACTTACAACATGTAAACACTATATATAACGGCTCAGATATACATATATGGGAAGGGGGGGTTAGGTAGATGATGTCAACGGGAGAGTTGTGACACCATGTGATAGGGATCATCCTAGGGTGATGAGTTTTTGGCGCAGGTCCAGGGCCTGAGGGGGATGTCCCAGATATGTGACATAGATGTCCCTGCTACTGCAAACCCATTAAAATACTGGGGGGACAGAGCAACATGGCACGAACATGCTAGTAGGAAAACATTGGCTGGCATTTTGCGCACCAAGTGTAACGGCCACACTTGCCAATCCGCAGATGCCATTAAAACGCACTTACTGGTACCGTCTCCAAGCAGATGTTGGGGGCAAGCTCTTAAAATTTCATGTTTGTCCCATTGAGAGGGGCATGCAGACAGAAAATGTTACAATGGCCTCCCAACATCTGCTTGAAGATTATCGAGCATGTAATAGTGACCCTGCAAAGGCACAGGTTGTCATTTGCATATTAATGAGTCAAGGTACTGCAGTGACATGGGAATATTCCCAATAAAATATTCATAGATAATTTTTATGGACTGTTGACATTCACTGAATCAATAAAGATCAATCAAATTGACAATGAAACAATATTAATACAAGAACCTGCAATGGGCAGGAGTACAAATCACTGAAAAAGACTAAAGGGTTATTTTTAATGGCAGAATTAAGCAAAGGCTACAAAAAGATCAAGACATATGTTTTAACTGTACTTGAAATCACAGAATATATTGTGACGACTGAGATTGCTAGAGTCAGCACACCAAGACATCCCTCAACCTACAATTTCTGCTTCAAAAGAACATTGATTGAGCCGCAGTCAGCAATTTATGGGGACAACTGCTTTTGGGTTTTAGGAGGACAGAACCAGTGGAGTGGAAAATTCAAAGATCAGGCACATTGTTCCTGCTCAGTGGGCTTTATATCATCAACTGTCAATCAAAGCAGTGCCTAAAACAAAAGCTAGACTCTACATCCGGAATAAACGGATTATATCAACAAGGGGATGATGAAATTTGAGAAAGACATGTTGGTCATTTATGTTGGTTTACAAAGAAAATTATAATAGAATAATCTGTACGGTTAAGATATCAATTTCGTAAAAGGTTGTGTATATCTATGCATATCATTATGTCAAAAAACAACATGCTATGCACTTGCTGCAGAGACCTGTATAATGCCACGTAGTAATCTCTTTATCTTATAGGGCTCGTTCACATTCAAAAGTGTGTGAAAGGCACCCAAAGAAAACATCCCAACGTCTCTAAACAATGACTTAATTAGCGAAAACAAAGATCAACAATGGAGGGGGCTGTGGTGTGTTTTTGGACTTGTCGTTACTCTAGGGATTTGCGCTGCAGGGTTTCGGTGGTTTGAATTTTTGACAGCTGAGGCCCTTACCCTGAACAAGAAAGAAGAAAGTTGCGCATGTGACTGTATGGGATGATACGTGACGTGCAAAATAAAGAAATCAATATATGACTCAGCGAGACCAAGAAAAAATCGCTCACTTTGAAATGAATGGGCTACCCCTGTATGTCGGCACTGCAAAGGAGCGCGGACCGTTAGTATCAAAATGTTGTCATTTTACCAAGAAAACTATAGAAAACTCACCTTTTTCTGATCATCCAGACTGTGGTTTATCTGTTTCCTCATGGGTTCCATCTTTACAGCCCTTTAGAAAATCTTTCCCGAGGTTGTTTTACAGTGGAAACATCCGTTTTTTTGTAACGTCCGTAGGCAGTGGTCACACTGGCCCGCTATCACATGGGTTCCCGGTCGGCACAACAACACTCCCTGCTCCGCCTCAAATCACGGGGAAAGTACGGAAGGGGAACATGGCAAAATCTTCCTGTTCGAATGATATATCCTCTTGATCCACTCAGCGAATTTCCAGAACACTCATGGCTCGCTGGGTCTTTCCACCACAACAAACATCCGAGGGTGAAAAATCGCCAAATTCGGTACAAAACAAAAATCAGCGCCTCCTCCTCTTGTACTCGCGAAACGGTCGTAGCTCCCGCTCGATTCTTTCAAAGACTTTGATGGACCACGACGTTTTGAAAGCGCTGTGATCTTGTTCGGACCTCCCTCCGAGGGTCTGGACAGTTTTGTTGGCCAGTGGTGCAGGAAAAGGGCCCTAGGCGCCGCCAATTTTCACAAGCCGCTGCCTTTCAAACCTTCCTGCCGCTTCAAACATTCAGCATGCTGGGGTGACCTCATGACGTCATGGGGTTATTGAAATGAAAACCTCTTCCGGGAAATTCCTATACCGCGGCTAAACGTAACCATCACAAAATAAAACTACAAATGGTGGCTTTAAATTCGTATTATTAGTAAATAATCACCCAAGCAAGTATTAAAGTTGATATTAATTTCATTATACCAATTCGTTTGCTAAGTTGATCATATACGTTTGATAAATATTTATTTCAAAGAAAGTAGGTCATTGCGTTTGCTTGTGGTTTACGGTGACTTCCGGGATCTGGAGATCCTCCATTTTGCCAAATTTGGTCCATCTTCCCATCTCGATTTCTGCGTAGATTTGAGCTTTTGCACGACAGGAACAGGAACGGGGATGTTTTTGACACTCCACAGAAACGGATAACCTGCGGAACACTTGACTTCCAGCCGTGGCTTGAGAGGGAATCGAAGCACAACTCTGTGCCCCCCTCCCCTCTCTCGGCAGGGCTATTTTTGACGGAAGTAAACTAGACCAGGGCGTATCAGGCGTTGACACAGATCCGCTAGTAATGGCTTCATTCTAACGTTTTCCTACACTTTCAAGCACGATTTTGAGTCGAAGATGACAGCGAGAATGAACCGGCGGATGGCTAACGAGGTTTGCGGGGACTGTGGTACGGCAGAGCCGGGGTGGGCGAGTATCAACCGCGGGGTGTTACTGTGTGACGACTGTTGTAGTGTGCACAGGAGCTTGGGTAGGCACATATCACAGGTGAGGACGCCTTGTGTTGTTGTTTACATCCTACTTTAATTTCTAAATCTGCATAATAATAGCACACTTTAATCAATATGTAAATATTACTATCACACTAACTCACATGTCTTGTTCTTTGCACTTATTGTCCTGTGCACACACAAAACATCACACAGTCACAGTTTTCTTCAATTCTATGCTTTTCTTTTCTTTCCCTATAATTTAAAGTATGTTTGTATATTTTTGTCTCTTATTACTTACAATGTGAAATTTGCCTTCTTTCCACAAAGATTCACAGTATCAACATATTGAGAATTTGGTGTATGCTACCAAAAAGATGTGTATACTGATTTGTTATTACATAATTTCAGCGCTACATTTGTACAGAAATATACTACATGTAACGTTACATGTGGTACATTTCTGTACTTTACAAACTGCTCATAAATTCTAAAATGACAAAGAACCTGACTTTAAATTTAATACCAAACGTTCAAGGCTATAAAACAAGCAAAATCATCAGTTCAGCCAGAATGAAGTTCTGCAATTTACAAATTTCTATATCTAATGCTGAACAGAACTTGGGTGTGGCAAGTTCTTTTTTTATTTATAAATATATACCCAGCAGGCCAGTACACACATGTGCCCAGTTGTAATTGCTCACATTTCATGTGTGATGATCCATCTGTCATACATGATACTTTTCCAGCTGGGTACACCAGCTGTACACTCAAATCACTTTGTTTGTTTATTTGAATTCACCACAAGATATACAAGTGGAAGGGAGGACAAAACAGGTGCATTGACACCTTTACAAGTTGTCCTCCCAAGCACAACGTACAGAAAGAAAAACAGATTACATTATTAAATTGCAGTAATAAACAACATTAACATCAAATATTGTACATCAACATCAAGTATAATACATTAAACATAAAAAACTATACAATGCAATTTCAAGGTATATACACATGTTATACATTATTTACAAAAATATCAATGGTTAAAAACTGTGTGGCAACACTAGTGAGGTCATAATGCCATGCAGGAGGCGCACCCACATGACATGGACCATGTGCAAGGAACGTCAGAGCTGTAGTGGGCAGTGAATCTACTGAAAGTGGCTCTAACTTAAACGCCAAAATGTTGGACTTTGTTTTTAAAGTTTAAGCAAGTCATTCAGTTGTGAATCATAGCTTTCAAGTCTAAAGGATGCAAAGGTTCAGTGTTTACTACATGATGTTCAAATGATGTTTTTAAAAAAGTATTGAGTCATCCCATTACTAGTATGATCTTAATGACTAAGAGTATCAGGAAGAGAAAATTATCAAAAAAACTGAAGTAAACAATTGTTTTGCATTGAATTTGTAATACAAAAATGTCTGAATTATTTTGCATACTGAAGTAGAATATACTCAATATAGATCATAAAGCACATAAGCATATCAGAATGTGCGTTCATGACTTTGGAGTGATATTTCAGGCAACAGAAATAGAAAAGTCTATCAACAAAGGCAGAAACTGTGATTGTATCATGTCCGTTATGCATCTGACACCCTTGACTGTGACGTATGCTCACAGGTGCGGTCTCTACAGCATAGCAACTGGGCCACCAGCCTCCTCACCATGGTGCAGCAGCTAGTCACCAGCGGAGCCAACTCCATATGGGAACATTCATTACTGGGTAAGGGGGGGTTGTGTAGGGGACTGTTCATTACTGGGTAAGGGAGGGTGTTGTGTGAGGGACTGTTCATTATTGGGTATGGGTAGGTTCACCAGCCTCCTCACCATGGTGCAGCAGCTAGTCACCAGTGGAGCCAACTCCATATGGGAACATTCATTACTGGGTAAGGGGGGTGTTGTGTGGGGGACTGTTCATTACTGGGTATGGGTGGGTTCACCAGCCTCCTCACCATGGTGCAGCAGCTAGTCACCAGTGGAGCCAACTCCATATGGGAACATTCATTATTGGGTAAGGGGGTTGTTGTGTAGGGGGACTGTTCATTGCTGGATAAGGGAGGGTGTTGTGTAATGGACTGTTCATTACTGGGTAAGGTTGGGTACAACTGGGCCACCAGCCTCCTCACCATGGTGCAGCAGCTAGTCACCAGCGGAGCCAACTCCATATGGGAACATTCATTACTGGGTAAGGGGGTTGTTGTGCAGGGGACTGTTCATTACTGGGTAAGGGAGGCTGATGTGTAAGGGGACTGTTCATTACTAGGTATGGGAGGGTACAACTGGGCCACCAGCCTCCTCACCATGGTGCAGCAGCTAGTCACCAGTGGAGCCAACTCCATATGGGAACATTCATGACTGGGTAAGGGGGTTGTTGTATAGGGGACTGTTCATTACTGGGTAAGGGGTAGGGTCATAATGGACATACATTGTAGAAGATGGGTTTCACTTGGGATTTAAAATTTCATTTGCATTTCAAATGATGTAAGGTAATAGAGGAGGTAAATCTGCCAACATTTGTAAAACAATGAAGATATGTTAAACTTTCCCCAGACCCAGCCATGGCCAGGAGTACGAAGAGGAAACCCTCCCCTAACGACTCCCTGAGTACCAAGGCTGACTTCACCAAGGCGAAGTACCAGTACCTGGCCTTCGTACACAGGCTACCCTGCAGGGAGGATGATGACTCCACCATGCAGGTAAACAAGACATTTTTTTACATCATGTAACATTCCCAAAGGAGGTTATGCTTAAGTTTTCCCTGTATGTCTGTTAGTTCTTGAAACATGAAGAATTTTGAGATAAATGATTGGAAAAATTCCACAGAATCACACAGATACTTTTCAGATGATTCTTTACCATAATAAACTAAGGCAATCCCCCTAGCTGTTACCTTACAAATTGCAGATTATGAGCATATACTGGTAAGTCCTCTGGCAAAGAAAACCATTGAGATTAAAAGTAATCTGGGAAACTTTAAGGACCCATGCCTTATCTCATCTCTAGTATCACCCTGCGAAGATTATCTTTGTGTTATATGGGATCATTTTCTGACATATCTTTTTAAAAAACTTCAATACTAGTGTTTCAGCTGAATATACTAGTATAGAGTGTTTTAAAAAACTTACTTTGACTTGATGATGTCCAGGGCCTCAACTGCGCACTGTTTTATCCCTGTATTACTTGGAATCATTTTCTAACATGTCTTCCAAGAATCATCAAAAATGATGACAATGTATTATGTTGACTAAGATTTAGAATAAGTATTGTTGTTGTTGTGCAGGACCTGAGTAAGCAGCTCCACTCCAGTGTGCGGACAGGTAGTCTGGAGACCAGCCTGCGGCTGCTGTCTCTGGGAGCTGATGTCAACTTCTTCCACCCGGAGAGGGGAGCCACGCCCCTGCACGTGGCAGCGTCTGCTGGACAGACTGGGCAGGTTAGAAATCCACAGTTTTCGAAATTTTATCATTTTTCAAATCCTATTAGATTGATATGGTCTGTGAGGGAGGCAGCCAAATGGAAGGCTTTTGTGAAGTTATGTTCTTTCTAAAATAGAACATAAAACTATTAAAAGCTCAACTAATCTGAAGTATAACACAGGTTCATTATTCTAGTACAAGGTAATGTGTTTTTATCCTTGTCAACCATACTCTATTTAGTTGTAGACTGCTTTGAGGGCGCTTGGAGAGTTTTCCAGAGTCATTTTTGAAGCCAATAAGTTTAATTCCATTGTCCCGTGTGCATTTTGTTTCATTTTTGCACAACTGCCACCTAGAGTACCTACATGTACCTTGTGATACATCACCGTCTATCCCTATCAACATTTGTACCAAACTATTAATCTGCAGTGCCATCTATTTCTGGTAGGTGGAGCTGCTAATTGTGCACGGTGCAGACCCCGGTGCCCTGGACATCAACAGTAAGACCCCGATCCAGTGTGCTAAAGAGGCAGGGTTTACGGACCTGTACGAGCGGCTGATGGCCTGTCAGTTTGAGCTGACGGACAGGCTGATCTACTACCTGTGTGGCAGGAAACCTGATCACCTGAGCGGACAGCACTTCATCATACCTGAGATGGCAGACAGCAGTTTGGACAGGTGAGTCCAGTACTTATGCCAAGATGACTTGAAGGTTATGCTCCATTGGTTTTGGCTATATGTTTGTTAAGTTTTATACAAACAGGTAATATACAAATGTATAGCATCCGGCTGACTTGGACTTGGCAAAGGTATTTGAATTGGAGAAATTTGAATCTGCTACAAATAAACTTGCCCCAAAGTTTTTTGAAACAGAAGCTAGAGCCATAATTTTTTCATTCTTTCTGTTTTCTTATCACTAAAGAAACTTCATTTCTAGCATCTAGGCTTGTAGGAAATCAGTTTGAGCTTTTTTTTTTAAAGCAAAGCAGAACTTTCCATGCTATAACCTGGGTGCCAGACTGTTGCCAGGGGCAGCATACAAGTTGGCTCCTCAGCTCTGAAAATTTTACCATAGACTCCCCCTCAGATAGACTCGAACTGGAGAGATAAGTTAGACTCCCAGGTGCTAACTTTGGGGTTGGGGCTTCTTCCAGCTGAAGGAAGTATTGTGTTGAGCTGGGGTCTGGCATCCAAGCTATTCCTGCTATGGATTAGAGTCAAAATGTTGGTGAAAAAAATGATAGTCAAGTTTCTCTTTCTTGTGTTGTCAGGTCGGAGTTGGCTAAACAGGCGCGTAAGAAGCTCCAGGCTCTGAGTAACCGTCAGTTTGAGGAGCTGGCGATGGACGTGTACGACGAGGTGGACAGACGAGAGATGGACGCCGTCTGGCTCACAACACAGGTATGTTAACTGGTTAACCACCCAACAGTTCCTACAGGTCATCACCAATTCCAAAATCATATCCAGTTCCTTGAGCAACTGTTTTTTGGTGTATCTTATTGCCTGGATGTCTAACCTTCATCAACTCACCCAACAGTTCCTTTACTGAAGCAAATTGTATCATGGATGGCATTCAGCACAAAGTTGTTTTGCCCTGTTTCTTGCAATAAAAAGAAATGTTTCTTTGGAAAACAATCATGCTATATTCAACTGCTCTGACAGTTTTCAAGTTTCTCAAAAATGCAACAGTTAGTATTTATTTGAGCCTTTGTTTATGTATGAAATGTTGGCCACTTTTTCATTGAGGTCATAAGGAAAGATGTAAAATTTAGACAGGATATAACAAAGAACAGGTTACAATTGACAGATGCTATAGTGTTCCAACTTTGCTTTTGATTCGTGATAAGTAATCGTTATTTGTAGTAAAAATTGTACCTGTATTTTTACCTCCCCCCAGAACCACAGTGCATTAGTGATGGACCGGACCGTGGTGCCGTTCTTACCTGTCAACCCAGAGTTCTCCTCCACCAGGAACCAGGGCCGGCAGAAGCTGGCCAGGTTCAACGCTCGCGAGTTCGCCACGCTCATTATCGACATCCTGATCGACGCACGCAGGAGACAACAGCCGGGCGGACAGGTAATGGTTGTAATTATTAACAAGTAAAATCTTATCGTTGAAGAGATTCATTTGTCACGTATAGATACAGTTCCTAATGAATTCTTTCATCAGTGACAACTTTGGAAGGATAAGGATACTAACCTCCAAATTTTCGATGGCTATCAGTCCATCTTGTTCACGGAGTGGCCTAATCTCGCGAGAGCGCAAGACTAGGCCCGAGACTTGCATCGGTCTGTCGGGTCCCACCCCCCGTTGGGTTGGGAGCTCCCCAAGACTTACTTACTCTTACTTCGGAGGGAGGCGACGGGGGGTGGGACCCGACAGACCGATGCAAGTCTCGGGCCTAGTCTCGCGCTCTCGCGAGATTAGGCCACTCCGTGAACAAGATGGACTGATAGCCATCGAAAATTTGGAGGTTAGTATCCTTATCCTTCCAAAGTTGTCACTGATGAAAGAATTCATTAGGAAAAGTAAAATCTTAGATTTTATACCTCCGGCCTTTTTATTGTATATTTTTATATGTTGTTTGTTATGTATACATGTAGTTGATGGTGTTGAATTTTGTGCACAACAATAATTGTTGCGCGCCGCAGGACTAGGGTTTTAAACAAAGAATTTATCGAGACTAGACACCCCTCTGTGCGAGGGGTCATATACGTGGACCAGACCGAGAATATCTTAAACACGTCAAAGGTCAACGGTCGCGACCATTTTCACGCTCAAAGGGGTGTTCTGGGGCCACCAAAAGGCACCATTTTCATGCCCGAAAACACATTATACAATAAAAACAAAAGAACGTGCATCACCTACAGCCCAATAGCAAAACATACACCGAGTCCCAAAAAAATCTGTCCACCCAAACGCGAGAAACAGCTGCGAACATGAAAATCTAAATCTCTCACAAAACCCTTCCGTGGAAGGATGTTTCCTCCCCCAGAGGTAATAATCATAACTGTGGAGAATAATCTGCATTGTATGCCTGTGTGTAACTCACATGGTCACTCACTTGTTATCCAATTTATTGTCAGTTGTTCCCCATCTCCCAGGGGTTACACATGCTTGCACACTGATGCTGAGGCTTGATGGCAGCCCGCCATTTGCCTCTATCCTATAATTGATTCACACTGTATAGGTTGAGATGGCACAAGTTCTCCCTTACATGAATGTCGATCCATCTCTTCCTTGGATGCCCCTCTGGATTTTGGCCTTCCACACTCAGTTTGATGATTTTCCTAAGCCACCTCTCACTGTCCTAGGCCACTTCTCACTAACCATTTTCAAATTATTTTTCACTAAATCTTGTAATTGTGTTGGGATTCAGAGTACTATGGGAATCAGTTGCAGTAATAGGTGGCGGGTAGTCTACTGTAAATGCATTCACATTTATGGTGGGAACAATTCTGCAGTACAATAGAAATACAGAACACATATTCAAGGTGTTTTGTTTTTGCATGAAGAGGCCACTTGGAAAAGTGTAATTTACAGTAATTATGTTTACGGAACATATTGTTTTTGCTCTGTTTCATCTTCTTCTCCAAACAAATAAGGTCAATGACCTGTACCAGACGTCTGTCACCATGGTCACTAGTAACGTTGCAATTTTATAGCAGGAGGGATTTAGACTCCCATCACCATATATATGAATGTGTTTGAGTAACAATTAACAGAGCGGACCATATGTGAAGGTAAACATCATGCATTTGCTTTACAAATGGCTTCATCCTAGTGTATATTTGTGTTTGTCATTATAGTTTTGAAAATGATCCATATCTCTTTCCCGTAAAAGCATGGTTCTGTGTCTGACGCGCCGATGACGCGGGAGGAGATGGCGATGGCTCTGGGGCGGATGAGCGGCTTCAGCGATGAGGAGCCGGTCTACGACAGCGTGGCATCTGACGAGGACGACCTAGAGAACCAGAGGCTGTCTGACCCAAAAGGTACGACAGCGTCCTTCAGATCTTTGAGATTTTAGTGAAAATTCATTAGTGACAAGTAACAATTTGACCTGGCATCCATGGGACTATCCTGGCAATCAGTGAAGTAGGTAGCCAAGGACCCAGAGGCTGTCTGACCCCAAACCTCCAGAGATTTTAGTAGGATATTTAGAAGTGAGAATGTCCTTCAGACTCTGAAATTTTATTAATTAAATGTGGTGACGGACACCCTCTCCTAATCCTTAAACCGTGACCAAGGCTGCCACCAACTACCCCCCCCCATATACAAAGCCTTCATCTACTAGTCATGTTACCTGTGTTAATCTGTTAACCTCTTGGTCAGATGGTGGATGCCGTCTGAAAGCTTCTCTGCTTCAATTGTAGGTCATGTGTATCAGCTTCAATCCTTCTTTTTATTAAAGAAAATATGGTTGAATGTGGATGTGACAGATGGATGGATGGATGCATGAATGAATGAATGCATGGATGGATGGATGGATGGATGTACAGATTGCAAAAAATCATCTGTATATGTTTTGAACTGTGACTCTTTAAACTGTACACAAGAACATGTATTCTGACTCCTGTTCTAACTGCACTTCTGTGTGATATAGGAAGTCAGCAGTGGTGAAAAGTACAAGTTTTCTCACTTACCCCTTAAAAATGACACTGGCATGCATGTAGTGTTAGTCTGCCAACTCAAACATCTTATTTACTGAAACTAGACTGTATCAGGCACCATTGTGTTTTGACTTGGCAGTATTTAAGTTCAGCAGTGATAACTGTTAGATGTCTGGTTCAGATGAGTCTACACAACTACAGAATGATGGCCGCTATGACAGAGAGAGCAGTATGCTGTGATAGGACTGCTTTGATTTTATGTGTGGGCACAGGTTTATACTGTTTTCTCTTTTATTTAAGTCATTGTATTGAAGGTTTTGTTACCAAGTTACATGTATACTGTTGAGACTGGGTGGTGTCCATTCAACCTTTAATGTTTAGCATCTGTTTTGACCAAAAATATTGAATATATGTACTTTGTCATACATGTAGTTTCGGCTGTTAATAAAAAAATATAATGCTTCAGTGCCAAAGGTGAAATATATGTGTGTTGACCTTGAACAAATTATCATTTTAGATGAAATTTGACAAAAGTTTCATTGTTTTTTGCTGCAAATTTCAGACACAACAGAATTTAGTGTTTAAGGTATTTAAAAAAAAGTGTAGATTTTGTTTCTGTAGCTTACTATTGACTGTTTCTACCCTAAAGGTCAAAGGGCAGAGAGCATGGCCTCGTCTGACCTTTCTGACGGGCCGATCACCCTGGAGGAGTACCTGCAGGTGAAGAAGGCGCTGGCTGCGTCAGATGCGCGGGTGCAGCAGCTGATGCAGCTGAAGCAGCAGCAACAGCAGGAGATCAGCCTGCTGCAGTCCATGGTCCAGAAACTCATGCAGGTGGGTGGGGCAACCATTGTTTCAGACTCAACCATTGTGGGGGAATTTTGTATGTGAAAGATCCCATAACAAAAACAGTAGCATTACTGCCATTAGTCCACGATCCAGAAACACATGGAGGTGGGTAGCAGTAGCCTGGATGCCAGACTGTTGCCAGGGTCTACACAGGCCAGTTCCTTGGCTACAAGGCCAACATGCCCCCAAGGAAACTTTACCAAATACAGCCCTGACTTAGAGTGTCTGTGGTGAAATTTCCTTGGGGGCATGTTGGCCCTGGAGCTAAGGAACTGGCCTGTGTAGGCCCTTTATTTACTTATTTATTTGAAATTGCAACATGGCAATACAATGTTGCCGCCAGGCAGCTGATAGCTGATATTGCGACATCATACACAAATATACACAATAGACACATACATAAGTACATTGTTGATCAAGTTACAATAAAAGAATTAGATATAAGAAATACTAGGGTAACTAGAATTAAATCGATAAAACATTAGGGCTAAACATATCTGTTAAAAAGAAACAGTGGCTTAGCTGTGTAGGCCCTGGAAACAGTCTGGCATTCAGGGTAGGTTGCAGGAGCACATTTCATACTTCAAATGTGAACAATTGATTAGAATTTCTGCTATGATTTCCACATCTTTAGGAAAACGCTAACCTGCGGACACAAGTAGCTTCAGCCCAGGCCACGGCTAACAAGCAGGAGGGGAACACAGAGAACAACAACTCCTCCTCCTCCAGGTCAGGCAGGGACAGACCCATCTCCATGTTTGAAACCAGAGCTGCTCCTAAAGAGCTCAGCGCATGGAAGGAAATGGGTAAGGCCAGAAGATAGATGGCTTTGTTTCTGTCAGAAAATTGGGAAGGGTTTACAATTGGTCCTTTATATTGTTTTATTTATATTGTTCAAAATCACTAGCTCATGCATGCATCGTAAGTTTAACTTACTATACCCCTTGAAATTGCCCTTTTTTTTCTTTACTGTGAGGTAAATTTTGTTAGCATGAAGGTTCATCTGGCTTGGAAGTTGACATGACAAGACTAAGCTGGTCTTTCCTTGCATTGGATAAAAGTATATTATGCTTTTATAATTGTTTATTGCAAACTTATGAAGAAACTCAAGAAAAAATGCCAAAAGTGGCAGCCACTGTGGCTTCAACCTGTTTCTTACATTTGGATGTAACCCTGTTGTTTAAACAGACCAGGTACATTTGGATGTAACCCCATTGTTCTCCCAGGTAAGCTGCCGTCCACAGAGGACCTTGTAGCCGGGATGCCGTCCAGCATCCAGAGAGACATGGGCGTGGCAGGGGCGGGGCCACAGGATGACAGTAAGGACAAACAGGCTAGCGACGCCGCAAGCGATTACGATAATAACCCTCAGGACGAGCAGGAAAGGCAGCAAGGTGTGGAGGGAGGGGGCGAGGGAGAAACTCCCGACCCCCTGGGGCAAGACCCCACCCCCTCAGACAAGGAAGGCGGGGAGGAAAGGAAAGGTACATACCTGTACCCCCCCACCGTGTGCCCCCCCGTTTCTCGCATGCCAAAATCATGTGTCTCTGTACATTTTGTCTTGACGATACGTCGATCGATGTTCTAACCAAAAACTGTCACTGTCTTTTGGCCTTTTCCATCCCATTCAGGCTTACTAAAAACATAGCTGCATGTCGAAGGTAGGAAAAATCTTACACTGTTTTTTTCAAACTGCTCCTAACATTGGCTTCGAGTTTGTCTGTACTAAACTAAGACTAGACTCTCCTGAAAATTCCAACAACAAATTACCATTCCTTTTCCTTTAGAAGACACATTACATACAATGTAGTAGCCAGATTACAAAGTGTAGAATAGTGAAATCCTTTTACCTAAAACATCTAATCAAATTTCTCCCCAGAATTCTGTCAGAAGTGCATGCCAACCGTAGGTGGGGTGCCTTTCTCCTTCATATCTGTAACTCTGTGTTGTTTTGCTGCTTTTTCAGCTTCCGTGAGGGTTGAGTTCACTTTTTAGCTGTGCTGCTTGGTTTCCTTTCCTTTCCTTCTCTTTCGATGTCTGTGGGGGTGAGCGTAACTTTTTCTTTGAACTGATAGATTAACGTCTTCCTCACTCGTGTCAAACTGTCCTCGACTCTTTTTGCTTTGTTTTGTAGATGTACATTTTTTGTTGAATTTGTTTTGCAGGGCATTTTAGTGTTGAGAAATTGCATCATACCAGTAGTTGCTGATGGAAGTATTTTTTTTTATCTCTGCTAAAAGTGTGTGTGTGTGTTACTGTTAGAAAGTACTTTTTTTAGACATGTACAACATGTATTTCTATCAAAGAGAACAATTCCCTCTTCTCAGATGATCATTGTCCCTCACGAGAAACATATTGTTGACATCTTGCTTACATCTTAGTCAAATTTGAATCTGGACTTGCTGTACAACTTTTGTTCAATTTTTAATCTGATATCTTGTAATTTGTTTAATTCGATACCTTATACTCAACAATATGGTATTTTCAACAAAAGGGAATGTTCAAACATCTTTGTACACATTTGTATTATGACTATCTTAAAACTAATATATCAATTAAAGCTGACAATTTTGATTTCCCTCCACCCCCCTCCCCACAGAAGTGAACCCACCAGGAGCTGAACCGACGTCACTACCCTCCCAGGACGACGTCGTCCGCAAAACGGAACAGATCACGAAAAACATCCAGGAGCTCCTGCGGTCGGCGCAGGAGAGCAAGCATGACAGCTTCATCGCCTGCTCCGAGAAGATCCTCACCGCCGTGAAGGAGATGGCGGCGCTCTTCCCGGAGAAGCCGCGCTCGGAGACGATCCGCTTGTCGCTGCAGCTGCTGACGAGCAGCGCCCAGCGGCTGCAGGTGCAGTGCCACCACACGGTGCCGACGGAGCCGGAGGGCGACGTGGACATGCAGCTGCTGACTCAGCAGGTTATACAGTGTGCGTACGACATCGCTAAGGCGGCCAAGCAGCTCGTCACCATATTTCAGTGAAGGACGTACCGTATTTATCCCATCTTTGGTATTTTTTTCCCCAAAAGAAGCTTTTAGCAGGTTATACAGTGTGCATACGACATCGCCAAGGCAGCAAAGCAGCTCGTCACCATATTTCAGTGATGGACATACTGTTTTTATCACATTTCTGGCAGTTTCTTCCCCAAAAGAAGCTTCTAGCAGGTTATACATATGAGTGCGCATACGAAATCGTCAAGGCAGCCAAGCAACCAAGCAACTGGTCACCATATTTCAGTAAAGGACATGTTGTTTTTATCCCATTTCTGGCAGTTTCTTCCCATAAAGAAGCTTCTAGTTGAGTAGCCGCAGGTTATACAGTATGCGTATGACATCGCCAAGGTGGCCAAGCAGCTCGTCACCATATTTCAGCGAAGGACGTACTGTGTTCATCCCATTTTTTTTTTTTTAGTATTTTCCGAAAAGAAGCTTCCAACTACATGTATGTAGCCTGGATGCCGGACTGTTTCCAGGGCCTACACAGGGCTCCAGGTAGTAGTGCTAGCCAACATACCGCCAAGGAAATTTTAGCATGGCCGAGTTAGACCCCGTGAAACAGTTAGGAGACACAAAAGTTTAATTTTGTGCTGGTTAAAGTTTTGCGAGTCAAGGTAGTAGATGCAATGCTTTTGGGAAAATCAACTGCCAATACATGCACGTGTACTATGTCTAAATAGAAGTGCATTTATTATTTCATAAATAATAGTTTATAAACACACACTGCACATGTGCAGTGGATTGATTGAACTTCAAATCAAACTTTTTCACTTTCACCAGATAACAGGTGTTTTTTGTTTGTTTTTTTGCTTATTTTTGCTTTGTATATGCTACAGAATGGCAGATGCGTAATGCAGTAATACCAGGGGTTATAATATTGAAAATCCTGAAATATTATTACAATGGATGTGAATATTCATAATTATTGCAACAAGAAATGGCAATTGTCCGGCATTCTTGTTATATTTTATTCAAAGCTAGTTGTAGCTATCAGAACATTTTTTTACATAGTTGTGATGGATTAATATTGTCCAAAATTGTTGCCATACATAACGTTGGCATCAAAAGTACTTCAGCATGGTTACGGTCAATAAAAAGCAGAATACTACTGTAGAACATGAAAGTCATGTTTTCTTTAGGTCTCGTTGTATCTATTATGAAAAAGTGAGATGATTATTGTTACTTATTGCTAAAGAGCTACCAACAAACAAGTTTTCTAGCTGAAGGCACACAGTTTGATCCTGTTTTTCATCACCCTAGACATCGCATTATGTAAACTTTACAGCTTATAACAATAAATCTCAATTACTGGAAAATAGCCTATTTCCACTAAGACATAAGAAACTTTATAAGCATTGGCAGAGTTAAAAAATCTGAATTATCGTTAATTTACAATGCTATATCAAAGTTCTCAAAAACTTTAAGAGAAACATTCAGTTACATGTGACATCATTTACAATTATACAATTTTAAAATTACAGAAACCAACTTACAGATATACATACAGTACATATAAAAGTTAAAGGTGGAATCAGTTCAGAGATTTGTTAAAGAGCAGTGTTGGCTGGTAGAAGAAAGATCGATTCAGCTTCTCCGTTCAACATTTTGGTAGTGTGAAATGGTTATGGTTTCTAGGTGTCCTTTCAGTTACTTCTTTCCTGACATTAGTGATCATGTCTACCAGTAAAAAGCATCACAACATAGAGGGAAGCACATGTCAGGTGTGATTTTCAAAACTTGTTCTTCAAGCAAATGTACATGTATTTCATATATCTAAACATCCTCCAAAAATACACTCAGTAAACAGACTAAATCTGAGAATAAAATGTCACAATCTTCCCACCATCTGCTTATAGGTTGTTATTACAGCTTGTCTCAATGAGCTGATCAGTACATGCAGATGAGATAAAAAGCTATAATTGCATTCTTGAAACTTGAATAAAAAGGTAAAGTATGGGCAGTTCAATAAACCTCTGCTAGATGTATATCTTCTGTCATATTGAACTATTGTGGTAGGATATGGTCTATTGCATGGATAAATGTCAGCAGCTTTTCCTATCACATTTTGAAGATAAAGAAAACAACTATAATTTCTCTTGCTAGTTTGATATGCAGCACAAAATTATTCCGCATACCGGTATTAGAATATACATTACATTGTACAGTGCTTCATTTTTGCAGATCATATGTCCAACATTGTCAACTTCAAAATTCAAGATTCCTTCAAGATTCAAGTAATAAGAGTACTGTAATGTTTTATTTATCTTTAGCATGTTTTGATGATCATCTCTTTAACAGCAGAATGGCCCATCCTGTTTGCCGCATCTGCTGGAGTCCTGCCATCCTTGTCTGCCATGTTGACATCTGCACCATTACTGAGGAGCATCTTCACTGTGCGTAGGTTGCCCTCCTGTGCTGCTATCCACAGTGGAGTCCTGCCATCCTTGTCTGCCTTGTTGACATCTGCACCCTTACTGAGGAGCTTCTTTACTGTACGTAGGTTGCCCTCCTGTGCTGTTATCCACAGTGGAGTCCTGCCATCCTTGTCTGCCTTGTTGACATCTGCACCCTTACTGAGGAGCATCTCTACTGTAGAGAGGTCGCCCTCCTGTGCAGCTATACACAGAAGAGTCCTGCCATCGTTGTCTGCCATGTTGACATTTGCACCCTTACTGAGGAGCATCTCTACTGTTGGGAGGTAGCCCCCCTGTGCTGCTATCCACAGTGGAGTCCTGCCATCCTTGTCTGCCATGTTGACATTTGCACCCTTACTGAGGAGCATCTCTACTGTAGGGAGGTAGCCCCCCTGTGCTGTTATCCACAGTGGAGTCCTGCCATCCTTGTCTGCCATGTTGACATTTGCACCCTTACTGAGGAGCATCTCTACTGTTGGGAGGTGGCCCCCCTGTGCTGCTATCCACAGTGGAGTCCTGCCATCCTTGTCTGCCATGTTGACATCTGCACCCTTACTGAGGATCATCTCTACTGTTGGGAGGTGGCCCTGCAGTGCTGCTATCCACAGTGGAGTCCTGCCATCCTTGTCTGCCATGTTGACATCTGCACCCTTACTGAGGAGCATCTCTACTGTAGGCAGGTGGCCCTCCAGTGCTGCTATCCACAGTGGAGTCCAGCCATTCTTGTCCGTCATGTTGACATCTGCACCTTTGCTTATGACCATTTCTGTGAGACTGGGGAGACTGTGGTGAGCTGCTTGCCATAATACATCTTGAAATTTTATATCCACAAATTTGCTGTCTGCTCCATGTTTGATCAAGTAATTTGCTGTTGTCAACTGATCATGGTTCAGGGCAAGCTCAAGTGGTGTGATATCAGTGCTGTCCTGTATGTTGACATCTGCACCCTTACTGAGGAGCATCTCTACTGTAGGGAGGTGGCCCTTCTGTGCTGCTATCCACAGTGGAGTCCTGACATCCTTGTCTGCCATGTTGACATCTGCACCCTTACTGAGGAGCATCTCTACTGTAGGGAGGTGGCCCTCCTGTGCTGCTATCCACAGTGGAGTCCTGCCATCCTTGTCTGTCATGTTGACATCTGCACCTTTGCTTATGACCATTTCTGTGAGACTTGGGAGACTGTGGTATGCTGCTTGCCATAATATATCTTGAAATTTTATATGCACAAATTTGCTGTCTGCTCCATGTTTGATCAAGTAATCTGCTGTTGTCAACTGACCATGGTTCAATGCAACCTCAAGTGGTGTGATATCAGTGTTGTCCTGTATGTTGACATCTGCACCCTTAATGAGGAGCATCTGTACTGTAGGGAGGTGGCCCTTCTGTACTGCTATCCACAGTGGAGTCCTGCCATCCTTGTCTGCCATGTTGACATCTGCACCCTTCCTGAGGAGAATCTCTACTGTAGGAAGGTCACCTTTATGCACTGCCTTCCACAAGTCCATGTCCTGATGTGCTATCAATGAAATATGATTATCAATATGGTCAACACGCATGTGTAAGGATGTGAGAGTGAGTGCTCTGGTGACATCATGATCAGCAATGAAATGTGGCATATTTCTAATGTGATTTCTAGTATGTATACAATGTACTAAGTAGCTTGTTGTGTAGATCATTCTTGGTGGACATGTAAGTCAGACTTCTCTGAAACTCCATGATAGTGCCACTGAGACGAACAGAGAGACGGTGTACACCTATTGAAAGTAGCATATAGACTTGTTCAGTTCTTTGAGTCTTACTTTATATTTTTTCCATGCATCACTTCTACACAAAAAATGACACATTGTCAACCACATTCACACCATCAAAAATGTTTAGAGATTTAAAAAGAATCAAGTCTGAAACCACAAGAGCACATGGAATTACAAACAAATTCTGTAGATTACCCGTGATTATGAATTGTGGTAGAATTATATAGAATGCTGCAATCTTGTAAACTGTGTAATCTTTTGAAATGTTAAAACATTGACAGCCATGCACAATAGACTAAAACCTAGCCTAGTGAATACATCACATTCCATAGCCTGTAATCATACTGTTACTCACTTGTAGTCATTGAGTCAGTCAAAGCTGGCCCTGGTGGTCGACCTGTGCTTTGTTCAGTGGTGTAGATGTCAGTTTTGCATAGAACCATAGGGGCAGTGCTGGATAGTTGGCTGGTGGGCAGGTCGGTTGTACTAGCATATTGGACAGTGGATGGTTGGTCAGAAGTGGGTAGGATGGCAGCACTCTGTTCTGGCAATGCTTCTGCAGTTTCATCTGGAAGGTGGGAAACGTTTGTATGTCAATTTTGCAGCTTATGACTGCTTCATCTTCAGTCATAAGAAACATGCTGTGAAATTGTGCCCTAGAAGACCGACATTGACCAATTGCCAGAATGCATTGCTCCATACTGCTAAGTGTCTATGCTAGATGTGTCCTGCCCTCTGCATCTCTTTATTGAAGCTAAAATGTGCAGCAATTACTCCTCAGACTTGTTAATGCATGTTTATGTTGAGTTACTTGATTTGTTTCCTTCGTTTGGTTCACCTGTGAACTGAAAAATTTCAATTCATACATTATGCTCCTTTGCCTTGATACAGAATATAATTTGGTGTATCAATTTCAACATGTACTTCTAATAATATTCATCTGTGAAAGGAGGGGTTGTGTGGCATAATGGCATAACATTTGTCTCAGAACCAAGACTAATAGGTCCCGGGATCGAAGGGGGCCTACATGGGGGGGGGGGTCCCAACAACGCTTTATGCTAAATTTTGAGAGCCGGCTACATATTACGCTACTGCAGCGATTACACTTTAAGATGAATTCCAAGTAGCTTCAATGCATTACGTACCATCAAAACGCAAATTACGCTCTATGCAAAACGTGCCAATTACGCTCCACGTTCTACGCTTAGGAAAAGCACTTAACCCGACGTTCCTCACTTCGCTCAGGTGTTAATGAGTATGCCAGAATGATCATTATCATGATCATGGGCATTATAAGAAAAAACCAAAACCAAGTCAATGCTAAAACATATTCAGTGCTAAAGAATTGTCCAAAACAATTCATGGAGTCTTCTTGGTTTTTCCTTACCTGCTATTTGCAGTTTGCCAAGGTGGGTTACTAGATGAGCATCATTGCTGTCATCTGTCTGTACAGGTGTTTCCTGGTTGTTTTCTTCTTCTGGAAGGTCTGTGTCATCAAGCTGAAGTTCCTCTAGCATATTGCTACAGGTATAGATGTGTGGCTCCAGAGGTAGCCATGGCCCTTTCAATATCAAATATATAAAGTAATGTACATATTTTTCATGATACCTGTAGTTTAATTTACCGTACACTACAAAGACAGCAGACTGAGTTTATGCCGTAAGATGGTACATTATTAGCACAGAATTTTTTAACATGCTGTGGCTAATTAGTTTCATGCCATATGCAGTATGCGATGATAATTTTTCAAAAGCCCTGTACTAACTGCACTATATGTAACATGGTTAATCCTGTTGTATATAATCTTAATAATCAATTACATTAACAATTACAATACATTAACAATACAATTACATTAACAAAGACAATAATAGTTCAACTAGCATTCAACAAATCTGTGAGCTCATACCTTCATCTGCAAATGTGAGCTGGACAGCCAAGGAAATGGACTTGATGCCAAATTTTGTCACAATGGTACGGCTTGAGGTCACCCTCTGAAACTGGGCATGTAGTCTCTGACCATCGTACTCCTCTTGCAAGCGGACTGCAGACTCTGATGTTAGGCAGATGCATTCAAACTCAATGGATCCAAATGATATGGATCTTATTTGCACACGAAAGCTGTTAAGATAGTCCATGATGGGGTGCAGCTTCTCTGTATTTTGGACAAGATACTTGAACAGCTGCCTAACAGCAGAGTCTTTGTCCAACCTACAACTGTCTTCAAGCTGTACATCTTCTGCTGTCACCTTGATAATGGCACGTTGTTCTATTTCCAGAAAAAATTATTCATGTCAAAGAATATCATGGAGACACTCTGAGACAGTCTGAGACACAAAGATGTCTCATTCTCTTCTTTTGCAGTAAGGCAGCAAACTAGGGGTTTATGGAGAAACCTTGGTGCTAGCCAGTCCAGACTGTCCTAAGACATCCAAGCAGCTGCACCCTCTAGTAGAATGCAACTAATCCAAGGTTTGAGGCCGCAGACCTAAAGGGGGCTTGCATTATGCATAAATCAGTATCACAGTGCGCCCTAAAGGATTTCTGCATCTGGGCCACAACAGGGAAGGCGTGAGTTGTGGACAGGCTACCCAAGGCCCAAGCGCATGCGCGTAAACTCTCCACCCACCGCTTCACGAGTCTGGCCCCCAGGGTAATGTCCTACCAGACCGAAGATTTTACTTAACTCTACTCTATTCTACTCTTGTGGATAATTACAAACCACAAACTTTGTGACTGCATTGTTTGAATGCAGCAGTATGAACCCGTATTGTTACAATGTTGCTAAGTCTTCAATAAGATAGCATTTTCAGGTTGCCGACAGCCGCATGGTCTTTCTGTTCTGATGCAAGGGACACACTCCTGCCCGCGAGCGCTCTAAGTAACCGTGAGATCCGTCTCCCTGTTACTGTTACTTTTGATTACCCTTGGCTGATTAAAACTTCAAACATTAAAACTTCATACAAATATCTAGATCGGTTTATTTCTACTCTCCCTGTGTGTAAGGGGTACCAGTAAGTTCCAGCGTAATGGGTGTAATTTCCATGCATTCCACAAGAGGGCGCAGCTGCTTGGATGTCTTATCTTTCATGAGGATATGAATGGGGGGGTCTGAGTAGCCACACATGCTAGCTAGGCCAGGTGGGAAGGCCAGGTAGCCTGGCAGGCACACAGGTTTTTCCGTAAACCCGCCGATAGAATCTAGTACCATCTAATACCATGCATATCATAGCATACTTCTTGTTGGAAGCTTTTCTTTCACTTTCCACATGAACATATGAATGACTGTAATACATTACAGCATTACTGATCATATGAATTAGCTCATTGCAGTATTACAACATTCAGGTGCCTGTCTTCAAAGGGCAACAGCTTAAATATGATTAAGATGATTAATAAACACAATCATGACACTTGAAGGTTGGAAATCCTTGCAGATGTATGGATCACAAAGTGACATGTTGCACTCACCTGGACTGCTATTTGTGCTTTCATTTGTGGGTTGGCTGAAGTCTACTCTGACATCAGGTGTCACATGCACTATGTCATCGCTGGTTGATCGCATGATCTGTTTGACTTCCTTCTGTATCTTCTGGCCTAGAGCACCTGTTTCATATCTCTTTTGAAACTCTTGTTGTGTCCCAGTGTCCAATAGTGCAATGTCCACCCTAAGTTCTCCAGTCCCTTGTTCACTCAAAAGTTGCATGAGATAGATTAACTCTCTTGATGCTTTTGAACAAGCAATATTTTTTGCTTTTGAGATATTCTTTGGATACCTGGTCAGTTTTGCAATCTCTGTTCGAAGGTAGTCGATTCGCTTGTACACGTCTCCTACTGTTGTGATCTCTGAACCATCCGTAATGTCTTCAGCAGATGCTGCAAGGTCTCTACCTGCAATCAAGAGGGATGCAAACATTGCCCTGGGCTGCATTTTGATTCTGTGTCTCAGTACTGTTTGCCAAACAATTAGTAAATATACAAATTAATGTACTGTCAATCAATCCTGTATCAATCTAAAACACAAGAAAGTGGCCTACCACTCTCTGAATCCTGTATCTCCATGTCCTGTGAAGCGGAGGCTGAACATCCTATGCCACTTTCTGTAGAACTGTCAGAGTGATCCGATCCCGCATCATCACTGCCCACCTTCAGCTGTTTAGTACTGCCAGCTGCTTGTACAAGCATGTCCTCTGAAGCAGTTCTCTTGTTCATACTCACAGAAACTTTCATGCCTATTAATTTAAAGGAATGACAATTTTCATATGTGTCCTACAACTTACAACAAAACAACCACATATACCTAAATCTTAAATCTGGAAAGAATGAATACGCAAACATGGAAATTCTATCCATTGTACAACTCACTACCTGTTGTTGAAAAGTCAGTAACAGCTTTCAAAGTAATCCCCATGTAAACAAACTCCAGGTATTAAAGTCTATGAGTACTCAACCCATTCTGAACTAAAAAGAGTAAAATAGCTACATTCATGTACATGTAAGAACATGATTTCCATACGGCCTGTATTTTTCTCGCCTGTAAGATTTTAATAGCATGTCAAATTTGGATTTAACCTCCTCATAGCTGAAGTAGCCTTTTGTAAGTTTTGGCACCAAATTTGTATTGGTTACAGGGTCAGGCAGCTGGGAGAAGATAAGCAACAAATATTTCATGAGCAATTAACATGGCTCAATATAAGCATGCTCTTGAAGTTGCCTGTGGCAAAACCAACAACTGGGTATCAGAACACTGCCCTGAGTTGTGATTTCATCGGGAAATAGATCTCCAATAGCCTCAGTATTGTACATTCAAACTATTCTCACCCATCAACGCTTGAATTTTTATGACCACCAAGAATAAATGTTCACCTATTTTAACAATTACATTTACATGACACTAGACAGTGACATGTACATTTGTACTTACCCTCTTCATTTTCCACAGCCTCAGCTTCTTCTGCCAGTTTCCCTTTCCTAAGGGCTCTCAACAGTTCCTTCAGCAACCCCAGATTTCCCACACCTATTCTGCCACCATCTTCCAACATATTGAAGATTTCATGGGGCTGTGCATTCTGAACCCTTACTCTACCTATGAGTTCATCGGTAATCAACATCTGTCGCAAGTTTTCCACATCATCTTCAGACAAATTTTCACTGATCTTTGCGTACAGCTTGCTACGCAGGGAAAGTTCAGGCCTCATTGCTTGTGAGTCATCTTCCTCAGACTCCATTGGTGAGGCCACTGTTGAAAGGATAGAAACAATAGTCTAGGAAGAGATTCACAGAAAAGGCCTAGAAAATGAAGGTTTTATATTTTATTTATATTTTATATATAGGTTTTATATTATAAGGAATGACTAGAACAATTCTGTAGTGCGGTAGAATTTTAAAACACATTTGCATAGGTGTTTTGATTTCACAGCAAGCTTGCAAGGTGCAACTATGAAAATGAAACCAGGACAGTCCTGGACAATCCACAACAATATAGGATCTACTTGACCACAAATAGCCAGAAACTATAAGGAATCCAAATATTTCACGGGTTGTGAGATCTAAAAACTCTAGCCACAACAAAAACTGTACAGGAAAACCAACTCCTATTCCTTTTACAAAAGTGAAAGTGTATAGACCTCAGTATGGCCAAACAAAAGTGAAAGGACAAATGACAGCTAACAGAGTCAAAGTTTGTTGCAATTATCCATATTGAAGCAAAGTCGGGACCCAATGACATATATTCCTTCATTAGGTCATAAAATGGGCAACTAGTAATATTCATGTTAACTCACTAAATACAAACACCGCCATACTGAATGTACAAAAGGGCTTCATGCCTAATACGCCACGCCCATGGGGAGTGCCGCCACGGCTATACACCTATTCGATGAGAATGAAGTGACCTAAATTTTCACCTATCAAACACTTACTTGTTGTTGGCTGTCTTCTTTTTTCCTCGGTAGTACAAAGTTCCGCTTGTTACTGAGGGATTTCACCTGCTAGTCTGGGGGCAGAACACCCCGCCCTTTATACAGTTCCTGTTTTGACCAATTCTTTCTGATGACGTCCCCGAAGTTGTGCAACTGGCCAGCTCGGTCAAACCGTTCTCGTCCACTACGGTACGGTAGCTAATTTAACTGTCTTACGTACCCTAAAGCTTTTAAAAAGGAGGATTGACAAACTACTAGTATATCCCGGTAAATTTTCGGCTTTGTGTGGTACTGTCCGACACGGAAGTGGGCGTCACAATCCAATGACGCAGTCCTGCGTCCAAGTTCGCCTCGAGTTACTATGTAGGAGCGCAGTTTCCCTGTCATGAACATAAAATCACCTAAAAACAAGCAGGATTGCCTGAAAATATCAGCAGATGGAAAATTCCAGAGTAGTTTTTGTCCATGTTGCGCGTTTGCACACGAAGACTAGTCCGACCCCAAGTCCAACAGTCCGATCACAGGTAAGGTCGTCGGGGAAAAGGGAGTCGCACCCTACATATCATACCTTATATATAATAATTTAATATACCTGGCCGCAAAGTCCTCTGGGAAGGGGGAAGTCCATTACGTCATCTCACATTGTTTCCATCGGAAAGTCCCGGCTAGCAGTGAACAAGGCCGAAGAACGTACTACTCCGCCATTGTTCTGTCTTCAAGAAACAAGTTCACTGAAGACATTTCTTTCTTTCTACTTTTTTTTCTTTTTTTGTTGCTCAAGTTGTTGTCCTTTAGATGTTATCATGAATTTAGCATTCAGAGATATCAGTGACTTTTGTACGATTGAAATATGCCCGGTCTCTCTTGTTAGTAACTTGTTTCAAAGTGGCCCCCAAAAAATTTCCCTGACGCTGTCCGAACTCTAGCGGCCACTTGTGTTCGTTGCCACGTTTCTATTAGCCTGGGTTCCAGACCCATCGCCAAACCAGACCCAAAGTATCTCACTGAGATACTTTGTGTCTAGTATGATATGGGTCTGGCACCCAGACTATGTTTCTTCTATACGCTTAACCAATTTCCCGTCACTCGGTATACTGGTGTTCATATTTTTTTATTCAGCGCCTGAACTTCTGTGATGAACACTTGAAAAGTCTGAAACGCATTTCACCCCCCCCTCCACATGTGGTTGGAATCGACCGTGGGGCGTGACGCGTGACTACAGGCACAGGTGTTTGCGGCCTGTTAAGTGCGCCACCATGCGGATTTTCACTGCAATGACTATGCATATTCATATAGGATGTGTGACTTCATTTCACACAAAGACAGTATCAAAAGATATGGAATGCGTCTAATGACGGAAATTATACCTCGGATTCATAAGTGGAAAATCATCTGCAATTGCAATTACAAGTTTGTCTTGCTCATCACAATTTTTGTATTTCTATTAATTGTAGACATTGGTTCTATTTTTACATCATTCATGTAGAAAAAAACAGTTACCTGTATAGTTTGCTATGTTTTCTCGTACATGCTTCAGAATGGCAGATGAGAAAAAATGCAGTAATGCCAGGGGTTACAAAATAAAAATATCCTTAGATATAGAGGTATTATTACTTAGTAATTCATCATTATTGCAACAAGAAATGTCACTTCTGCAAAATTTTAATACATGAAGTGGAAGGGAATATCTAAACATCCCAAAAAAATACACTAAGTGAAACAGTATATAAGTCTAAAAATGAAAATGTCACAATCTCCCAAAATCTGGCTGTTATAGTATTTTTACACCATATCTTGATGGGCTGATCAGTACATGCAGGTGAGGTAGAAAATAACAATTGCATACTTGAAACTTTAATAAAAAAAGTATGGACAATCCAATAAACCTCAGCTACATGTAGTCATATCTTGTGTCATATTGACTCTAAATATTGTTAGAGAAATAATCTATTACGTGGTTCAACTTCATCACATTTTGCTTACAACACCAAGATAAAGATAGCCCCTCTACCAATCAATCACTATCAAGTGGCCCCAAGATTATAAACATAATGTACATGTGAGCATCTAAACTTGAACTTAAACAACTTAAACAGAACAGTATAAACTGGTATCACTTTTATATAATAAATCTAATATCAAACTTGAAACCACAGTTTTCTATAACATATTTGTGTATATAATATCAAGCATGAACATGATTATGCATTACATGCACTGGTTTCATTTAGCCTAGTCCCTAAGCAGATGTCTGGTGGTAAAAGTGGCTTAGAACTGGCTATCTAGAGAGAGTCTTCAGCTGCTCTTCGGTGGCCAATGGCACTCCTCTGACCACCATAGGATCTTGGAGATTACTGTGATGATGATGATGATGATGATGATGATGACTGGTTTATTTGCAACACGTGCTCAGACATACCGTTGCAGCCTTATCTGGCTGAATTAGGGCATGATACAAATCTTATGTCCATCACAATTCTATACCCTAACAGACAAGGTACTATTACTAATTCATCAAAATCAATTATACAAACATAGGCTAGAAGACAAGGTGCGTACTGGTTAACAATCATAAAATAACTTTACAGTAAAAGATACCTATTGATTGGAATCCATTCCACTTTACTATACTAGGCTAAGAGGCGAGGTACTAATGATTAAATTCCATTCAATAATTTTACAGTAAAAGGCAAGGTAGTATTCGTAAATCTGGAAGATCTACAGTTGAACTGGGTGAAGTTATCCTTCGTTCTCAGTTCTCTGCCGAGTACGTTTCCCCGTTTCGGAGGCAGCCAGCAGTTGGCTTAGGGTTCCTTCCCCCTTCCAGGTGTGAGTGGTTCAAACCAAACAGTCTGATATTATGCAGCTTGTACTTGCATGTAAAAAACTAATGGGTAATACACCTGAAGGTGGTTTACTGGATATGCAAAACAAACAAAAACTAGAAAAGTAACATTTGCAAAGCAAATGCATAATGTTTACCTTCGGATATGGTCTGCTCTGTTAATTCTTACTCAAACAGATTCACATACATGTACATGTATATGGTGACAGGAGTCTAAATGCCTACTATGAAATTGCAACATTATGTAACCCAACACCAGTTACTATGGTGACAGATGTCAACAAATGAGGCCATTGGCCAGGTCAGAGGTTGGTGTTTGGAACAGATGGAGCAAAAACAATATGTTTTCCTTCGGTAAACATAATCAATTTCTTGTATGAGACACAGGCAGAACTTCCTTTTGCTTTTTTATCATGTCTTTGGTAAACCAAAATACAGGTTCCTCATTAGTGTTGAAATAGAGAAAGTGCTGTTGACCCAGTCAGTATTCATCATTTTGGTCACCTTGGTCATAATCTGGAGTAGGTCCATCCTCCCCACTTCCTCAGCCAGGACTTTTGTAATGCATTTAATGAAGGGGTTTCCTTCAGTTTCACTTCTGCATGCAATGTGACATGGCTGAGTAGCCATGCCAAGGTAAATATTTGGTGCTTTGGGAAGGGAAAAGTCTCTGTTGGCATTAACATTGCAATCACCCCGACAAGCCTGAATAAGAAAGACTTTAGGTTTTCCAGCTAAGTTAGGGCAGGAACGTTCAGTTAATGGTTCGGTTAGATCTTGTAGATCTAAACCTACTCCATCACTTCCATACACTTTTCCTTGGGACCCATGACTCATGATGCACACGAGAAAGCAGTCATTTACAGAATGATCAGCCAGGTTTACGTGTCGTAGTAATGAGATTATATCCCCTCCTGTCTTGTCCTCATAGCAGGTTACAGACATGCCCAGCATTTCAAATGTGTCCCTTAATCTACCTGTGGATAAAAAAATTAGAGATTAGGAATTAGACAATGAAAAAGAGGGTCAAAGTAAAACCTGGTTATAATATAAGGGAGGATAAGATTATGATTGCAGGTGGTTGGCTGCACCAGGTTTGACTGTATCAAAAGTCAAACCTCATTACAAAATATGGCTTACGAGTGTCTTCTGCTCCTCCTCTCCTACTTAGGTTGATGTTGCTTTGGAAGTTCATGTTGTTGATGATGACTGCTACACCGTTTTGGACTGGGAATGGCAGAGCTGCATTTGTGTAGAATGCGGTATCTAAAACACGAGAGTCAATGTCCTTAGTTTATATACTTAACAGAGTAATGTTACATGTGCAATGTACCTTTCAAACATGATGCTTCCTTTTGCCATATAAGGCAAGGACTACAGGACACTGCATTGAACAGACATCATCCACCAATGCCACCAACATTATTCAATTTATTGGGAAATTCTGTGTTTAGAAAAATCGGTAAATAAACAATATATAGAAGTTAAGTAATTACATTAGAACAAGAGTTCCATGACCTCATACCTTTTCCAAATCATGTTGACCATTCAAAGTAATTACTAGTATAAATTTTTTTTTCTCAGTGATTATGTAAATAAGAGCCCCATTTGTATGGGTTATATCAATTGATCCTATTCTCCACCCAATGACAGTCTTATCTTAAGAAAAATGGCTATTCTAGCATTTCCTCCAAAATTATGCAAATGACGTCCTTATTTGAATAAATTATGGTGTCCACCTTCACTGAACTTCCAAATATGGCAAGTATTACATTCCCAGCAGTTTATATCAGTTTCTCATTAGTTATGCAAATTAGGTCCTCATTTACATAGTCAATACCTGCCAATGTCCGTGTTCTCAATTACTAGTACATGTTTCAACAAGTGTTTCATAGTCCTATTATCGAACAAAGCAGATTTATAGAATTTCCTTATTGATTATGCAAATTGGCTCCTAATTTTCATGTTCATGCAACATACATTTCAGACGTAAAGATGCAACATGTTCTGACATCTTCTACACAACATCAAATTTAAATGTGTTTGAACAATGATTGTGTACTTTTTAGTTGATATCAGAGTGCTAAGCATCACTGCATCTTTTAACTATATATACTTGTTAGATACATCTTCCACCAATTCTTGAGTTATCCTCTCTCAAAGATGTCTAAACAGTCCTGCAGTTCCAGAACAAGCTGCTAGGGGGCCCAAACTTATCTGACTTCTCCCGAGTACAAGAGTAAATAATCTTTGAAAAGTTTATGCACATGCGAAATAAGGATACCCCCCATTAGCATTTATTTTAGTGAATTCTAACATCAATCTACTCCAAGAACATGAGATGCAGATTATGTATGGTGCCTACTTATTCTCTGTTCCTTAGTCCTTGCCACACTCTTCATCCCACCACTGACACTTGTGAGACTGATGGTGTACACCTGTAATCATCCTATACTATGTGATCATATGGTTTAGCTCTCCAGTGGAGTTGCAGATCTGACCATGGGTTTTATACAGCACTTACCCTCTTTCATATCCACATCCTCATCTGCTCGTGATAGATCCCCTTCTTCAAGGGCCATTAACAGCTCCTCTTGTGAGCCAATATCCTCCTCACCAATTTCACCTTCTTCCAACATGTTGTTTTATTAATTAATATTGGTTCCATTTCATCTTCAACTTTCCTTTTCGCAATGTTGTATTTGATAAGCTTAGTCAACAAATCTTTCAAGTGTTTTACATGATCTTTTCTCAAAGCTTCATTTATCTTCATTATTGAGTATTCTTGAGTGGTTGGAGAGAACACTACAAGTGGTGAGACAGGTTAACCAGGCTACCTCAGCAGGGAGAAGGATTAGATACTGGACGTTTAAAAAACAGACAAACCTTAGATACCCGCCCTGAGAAAACATGTAATGCTGAAACTCATTCATGCCATTATTCATTTAAACTTCAAGTCATTGAAATTGTACATTATTTTTTCAGTTTCTGGAGTGATATCTTGCAATGGCACTAATAATGTTTTTTTTAACGCAGGGAGCTACACTGCTGTAACTGCTGAAGAATGGTGATGTTAATGTTTTCATAATCAGACAAGAACAAACATTCTGTAACAGTGGGGTTCAAGTGCCACCACCTGACCGATCCAATTGGTCTACATCTTTAAGCCTCAGTTAGTACATTGGGTTGTGAGCTGGCAGCCCAGGTTTGTCCCAGGTTCAAGTCCTGGGTATTCCAGGTTCAAATGTGTGTATTTCCGTGGTTCCACCAGAAATTGAACCTTGGCAGTATGAGTGCCAAATTATAAGAATCTAGGCGCACAAATCAAATAGAACTGACCAAGGAGATTTAAAAAGTTTTAAACCTCCTTGAACTGACACACAGTGTACATTTAAGACATAATACATTTTCTGTATAATGTCCTTGATTTATATAAATTGAGTGCATATGACTCCAATGCATTATAGGCTGACATATTAGTAGTAAGTGAAGCCAGGACAACAAGTGTCATGAGTACAAAAATGTCCAAAGTGGTGGGGTGATAAGGTCTCTATGACACAAAAGAAGTCACGGTCATACCTAAGCCTGTTGTATCCATGTGGTGGTTAGGGCAGTACAGAGCTTCATTGTCGCTTTTCATGCAGGCACTACACAACAAGGCACATCCACAGGCCATGGGAATGGGACCTGTATAAGGAGAACAGCATGATTTTAGTACGACTCGTGTAGGGTGGTCACGGTTATTTCAGTTAACTTGTCATAGTCTTGTGTCTTGTATTAATTCATTCTGCTTAATTCCATAGCTGAGTCACAGTGTTTACACTACGCTGAGGTTAATTCTTGGGGGTGGGAACTGTTAGGCGGGCCGGCCACTAGAAGCATGATTCAAAGTCATTCTACTTAATTCCATAAACCTGTAACACAACAGAGGTTAGCAGATCAGTCATCATGCAGAAGCCATCTACATGTACTCTAACTTGATAATGAAACCTACAATGTACTAGTAAATGGACTTACATGGCTTGCAGGTAAGACAGTGCATGCACCAGTCAGGCACTGCTTTGTTATGTTTCCCAATGGCAGCAGACGTCTGCACAAGTACCTGCCAAAGAAAAGTACATAAAATATGAAACTGCAAGCTACTATGTAAAGCATAGAGATGGCAATTAATTGCAGACAATATTAGTATCTATATTTCATATTCCCAGTAGGTGTGTATTGGCCCAACACACTATTATAGTTTTTTTTTAATACAGGCTGCATGCAGGTATTTAACTAACAATTGACCCTCATTCATATGAATGTTAGTACCTTCTGCTTTTGGTAGAGCTCCTTCAATGTAATTCTGTCCTTGGGATGCTCTTGAAGACAACCTATGATCAGCTTTGCAAACTGTTGTGTCACAGAAGTATCATCCTCATTACATTCAGGCCAACCCTTGAAAGAGAATGCACAATCATCAATGACACTTGGTGAATGTGTAGTTTCTGTATACGTTGAATTTGTGCTCATATTATAGAGACCTAAGAGTCATATAAGAGTTGTCCATTTTGAAGTACCGGTATGGTAAACAGCCGTGTATTGGTGTATTAAATGAACAGACCCAAGAAGACTAAATATATTTACGTACCACTGCTGATGAACGGTCTGCCGCCTCACACAGCTTTGTCCCGTCACTCTGCTTATCAAAGTAGTCCAGGTCTTCAGACCAGACTTCGAATAGCAAACGTCCATTTTCCTGTTTGTCAGCAGTAATGCTTGTGAAGAGCTCTAAAAGGACTTTTAAAGATAAAATCAAAACATTACACTTCACCAGTGACTCTGTAGTTACAGAATGCATGTTACAGAAATTGCCAAGTATTATCTGAGTGATACTATATTCATAACATTACATGTATATACTTTTAGTTTTACATTGGCAAATTCATTGTGCCATAAAATGTTGAATGTAGTTGACATGTTACAGTCTTGACCCATAGGGAAAAGAAGCTGATTATTCAGGTCACATTTGTGAGCTCTCATATGCCAAACAACATGATATTGATTACATACAGTACCTTTTCCTGCACTGTAAAGGTCACTTTTCTCATGATACTTTCCATACTTCAGACAGAAGGGGTCCTGGTAGTATGGGGTTCCCCAGTCATAACCTGGAACACAAAAAGAGTAATGCTACTACATAATACATTGTAACCTATTTGCCAGAATCGACTAATGATATAATGTACTATAAGCATACTTTTCCGTCACATCTAAAAGTTATTTCATTTCTTTAGGAATGGATTACTTTTTGTGCGTGCAATTTCCAGATGATGTATTGTAACAGTGCAGCTAGTGTGTGATTATACTATACTGCTGAGGGACTGGTTATCTTTTTACTTCTCAAGATTAAAAGAAGAGACATTTGATGCAAATTGTTAGTTACCCGTTTGAGTCAGATGTGTTTTGTCTTTGGAAACTTCCCTCATCAAGCCTGGGTCACCAAGACGGGCTCGAAGCTGGGCATCCAGGAACACATTGGCTGACTTCACGTCACAGTGGAACCTCTTATTTGGACTATTGTAAAAGATCAATTGCAAAACCTTACGCAACCTTCTGCAAAACAGTACAATGTAGTTCATATCTGCAGAAAGAAGACTTAGGCCACACCAATTTAATTTGTTGGTTCTCGGATTTTTTCATGAAAAATGTGAAGCGACAGGGCGAAAAAAAAAAAAAAAAACATGCCCAAATGGTAAAGCTAAGGCTGGAAAAGGGATTGAGAACAAAGCTATACATGCTAAAAAAATTGCTGTTTTATAGCCTATGTATCAAGGATCAATTATTGATGTTAATGATCTGCCGAATAAACATATCCCCCCGGAATAAACGTACCCCCCGGACAAATTTTCAAAATCCAATAAAGATACCCCCCCGGAATAAATTTACCCCCGGAAAATTACCAAAATTGATGGGTAACCTGTGTCTCTTATACTAAAATGTGCTCTTACTGATATACTAGAAACTGTTATGCACAAATCTTTAACTGTTATTTGCAATTAGGAATTTAAATAGACAACAAAGAGAGCATTTCTAGTACAAATGTAGACATGTCATGTTGTTGGGAAATACATACAGTCAAACCTGTAATAACGACCACCCCTGTATAGAGACCACTCGTCCATTACGACCACTTTTTGTTGGTCCCTTGAATTTTTCCCATCGACTCAAGCGTTAAGAAATCTTGCATTGCGTCTACCTGTCTAACGCGGGGTCGTGTTTTCGTGGGGTCGTGTGGCGCAGCGGTAGCACGTTCGGCTCGGGACCGAGAGGTCCAGGGTTCGATCCCCACCCATGTCACCGATCTTGTGCCCGTGGGAAAGGCACTTTACACTCCTCACTTCACTCAGGTGTAAATGAGTACCTAGCTTCAGTTAGGGACGTCCCTCGGATAGGACGTAAACTGGAGGTCCCGTGTTTGAGGAGAGCCACACCTCGAGCACGTTAAAGATCCCACCACACCTTTCGAAAAAGAGTAGGGGCATGCCCCGGTGTGCGATGGTCCAAATTCTACAACCCAAATACTACAGTGTAGCAGAATCATCAGCAAGTTGATGTTGGCTACCTTAACCTCCAAGACCAAGACCAAGACCAGACCCCCCAACGCGTCCAGCGTCCACATGTTTTCGGTCCCGAGACGGCCAAAATGCCAATCCCACCGCCTGAGTCCAGCCGTGAGTACGTTGCCAAAAGTTGGCCAAGAAAATCCAACGGGTACCGGGTAATAAAGAATATGGGCATGATGTGGCAGCGTTTTTTTTTTTGCTAGCGTTCGTATCATAAAAGTAAACAAAATTTCGAAGTGCCGATTACTCAAAAATGGCCCCTAAAAATCCCAGCGAACCATCCCAGCATGTCGTTTAACTTGGCGTCGATTACGACAACTTTTCTTTTGGGAAAAATCCACTAAAATTAGAAAATAATGCTTCTCTAGCAACCATATAGGGCTTCAGATATATTCTGGGCGATATTACCCGGGATTTTGTCGTAAAAATGAGCCAAAACTGTGGTAGAAAAGGCCGAGAAATATCCAACATGGCGTCGCTGCGGAAGAAGGTCATTTGGGGTCAACGGAAGATCTCATTTTTTACGGGGAAGACTGTGTAATAATTTACCCGATTTCTTGATTTTATTGCGGTAAATCGACATCGACAAATACAATATGGTAGCAAAATATCGTAAATATTAAATGACTTGCTTAGTTTGTTAGAATTTGTTCTAATTTAGAGCTTTGAGGAGTTCGTATTTTGATGAGCACCACCCATGACAATGGAACATTCAGACAAATTTATGCACGCGGCGATCGCGAAAACCGGCCCGAAAATGACAAGTTTCTCGCTACAATACGCGTTTATAAACGTCTTCACGTCGAAGATTTGCCGATTTTTTTCACGCGTAGTCGAAAAAAATTACTGATTTCCAAAAAATTAATAAACGTACCGTGCAAAATAAGAACGTACCGGGTGGACGTTCGGGCCCAAAAAAATCGGCAGATGAGATGAGAGTAACAAGAATCACGGTTTTTTTTTTGATTTTGCGATTTTTTGAAGCGGCGATTCCGAGAACCAACAAATTAAATTGGTGTGGCCTTATACATAAAGAAATCCATGCAAGTGCTAAACTGCAAAATACACAATTTTTCAGAGAGGATGATGGCAGTCATTTGAATATGATCAAGGACAATCTATAGGAATATAATTTTGAAGACGTTGAGTGGAACATACCCCTCAGTCTTCTGGTGGTAATACCGGATGGCACTTATCAGGTCCAGACCAATCACCAGTCTTGTCTTCCAGTCTGTAGGTGATGTCTTGTCCTGTATCCAAGACTTCAGGTCTTTGTTGGCCATGTAGGGTGACACCAGAGACAGGCAACTGCAACAGTTATCAGACGACAAGTTGATTCGGAAGAAGAGACCTAACAGGTAACATACAACTGTAGTTCAGTAAATCAACTTTTCAAGCTAGGCCTACTGCATGCATTACCACGGTGTTAACAAATTAATGTGTTGGGCATATCTTTTTTTATAGCATGGTGACCATAAATGTAGCAAGAACAAAGAATAAGTTGTGTATATGCACTTTGGCCTGGCTTAAAAAGTTGATTTACTGAACCACAGTTGTATCAGATTTAAACACTGTCCACAACATCATGAAAAGACTACTGTTACCTTTCAGGTCTCTTCAAGGGAGAAAAGAGAAGGAGAAAGGAACAAGAAGTCAGTATCATGATGATAGCTTACAGAGTTTGATAAGAGACATTGTAGTGTAGAACAAGGCCATGTTTTCCAAGAAGTTTCATGTCACAGCTTTAGATAGCATCCTCTATCTTCCATTAGAGAAAGAGAATGGCATTGTTTTATTACCTTCGCCAAGAAGGTTATGTTTTCAGTAGCGTTTGTCTGTTTGTCTGTGCACAGCATAACTCAAGAAGCTTCATATGGATTGTCATGAAACTTGGTAGGTCTTGACGAGACCTAGAAATGATAAGATTTTGGGCCCCCTGGTGGCTTTTGTTGGTACTGCAGCAGAACTTCCGGTTTTGATATCTCGCGATCTAGACATACTAGGGTCACGAATTTTGGTTGGTAGATAGCTCTTGGGCTAGGGAAGAAGTGACATGAGTTAGGGCCCCCTAGCAGCTTTTTCTGGAACTGCAGGAGCGTTTCTTGAAAATCTCTGAAGGTGGATAACAAGAACCGGTTGACGGATTGTCATGATTTAATTAAGAACGAGAAAAACATCTGAGGATATAGATTATGTAAATGAAGACCTAATTTGCATAATTAATGGAAAATTGTTGTAATTTTATAGTTGAAATTGCTAGGAATTTCATACTTGCCACATTTGGAAGTTAAGTGAAAGTGAACATCATTTTCACATCATGCCCTCATTTGCATAATTTATGAGGAAGTGCTAGAAAAGCCTATTTTCCTAAAATGAGGCTGTCTTTGGGTGGAGACTATGATTAACTGATGTAATCCATGCAAATGACGCTCGTATTCGCAAAATCAATGATTAGAATTGTATAATTCATCATCCAGAAGGGTTAACATCATTTGGCGAAGGCACCTACCTCTCATCTTCACATATCCCAAACAGAGGCAGGAGATGGGGATGACGGGATCCAGCCATTGCCAGCTCCTGAAAATTGTGCAGTTTTAATATGATAAAACCATAGACCACATAAACTTCATTGAAAATGAGAGAGATACTTTGTACATTGTAATAGACCTGTACATCAATAGCTATTTGATAAGTTGGCACCATCACTTTCTTGCACCCTTGAGTCAATCAAGACTACATGAAGTATAATACTGAACCTTGTGGCATGTATGCCAATTTCTCTACCTAACCCTCTCACTTACTACAGAAAGCCATGTTCACTTAAAAATCAACCCCAGTACTACAAACAGGCCTTAAAGAGTAGTGATACATTAAGTCACATAATCATTAAATGTACAAAATCTATGCATGTGCGAGGGTCTGCATGGGGGGTCCTGGCAACGGTTAACGGTAAATTCAGCAGGGCCGATAACGCTTAACGGTAAATTCAGGACGGTCGGCAATGCTTAACGGTAAATTGACAGGCTTTTTTTTCAAGCTGCACTGGATTTGGTACCGCGCTTTGTGAGAAAAGGTGATCACTGACAAAATTACGTATACCTTACATGTTCCCTGTGTTTCCCACCTGCCCTGGTCCCCTAATGCGTCCACAAATAAAGGGGAGTCCGAATCGACGTCGGCCAATGCTCTACCCAGCTTGACTTAATTTTTATTTTTTCCTTCCGCCCAGTTTTACCGATGGATTTTGAGAGTGAAGCGCTGAAGGCGCTCGCAATCTAAAGAGGGCCCAGGGGATGCTCCCGGGAAATTTAGGATTTTTAAGCCTTCAAAAATGCAATTTCCCGCATCTTGAGAGGCAAATCATGGTGTTGAGAATGTTTGTCGGTCCTTCTGATGTTTTCATATTTTTACTCAAGATTTTTGTTATCCTTGTCTGTCAAGGTTGACGGATTCGTTAAAAAATTTTGTAACGCTCCGCAAACGGATAATTGACGGAAAACTGGTGCTGGCTATAGAGCCGAAGGGGACCGAGCGCAGAAGCGCGAGTCGAGCGCCAAAGGCGCGAGCAATGAAGGGGGGTCCGGAGGGCATTCTCCCCGCCCGGGAAATTTTGTATTTTTGAACCTTCAATGACGCATTTTCCTGCACTTTGAAAGGCAAAATTAGGCGTAATGAAGAATTATTCATTAACGCTTAACGCTGAATTTAGGATGACAAATAACGTTTTACGTTGAATTAAAACGACCAATAACGCTTCACGATGAATATACTGATAACGCTTAACGTTGAATTAGAGCAGGCCGGCAACGATTAATGGTAAATTAAAATAGCCCATAACGGTTAACGAAAAAGGGCATGCAGGCCCTCATGTGCTTACCTGCATGAACTCCCTCCTTCCTTGGTCATCAGAACGGTTCACCTTCACAGCCATTTGTCGCCCCTTCAGTGGACCATCATAAGAAAACTTCTCTGGAAGAAGACTCAGAATAGTTAGACATATTGTCTGACGGTGACATTATAATGATAAGAAAAGGAGCAAATCTTCGATCTTGTCTCACAAGTATGTGTACAAAATTGTGAAAAGGCTTGATTCAAAACATGTATCATATTGTAGGTTTAGAAAACTAGCAAACTATTGCATCCATACCTAGATAGTAAACAGGTCCAAAGGCCCCATGAGCTATCTTCTTTAATGGGGAGAAATTCTCTGTCATCTTCTCAATATGAGCCTTAGTGAAGATGTACAGACGCCGCTCTGTGTCATACACTGGTTGGTCCCCATCAGCGCCCTCCTCCATTTGCTCCCAAGTTTCTGAAGGACTCAGCTGGTCTGATGCAGCAGGTGCCCCCATAGCTGCTTCATTTGCATCTTCAGGTGGGGCATTTGGCATTGTCTCTTCATCACTAGTACTGAAGTCATCAGGCCTTACATCAGTTATGTCGGGTCGGTTTGATGCCAGGTTATCCTGCATGTTGTCACCACTTTGCAGATGTAAAGACTCGTCACTCAGACTTGCATCAGTGGAACGACTAGTAGAACCACCTGTTGGATTTTGTAGAGGAGGGGTAGTGAGTCCTCTTGCTTCTTGGTATGCTGCTTCTCCTCCAGTGGTTGATCCATCCAGACTATCAATTGTAGCAGGTTCTAACAAAGGATAAAAGAAAATAAAAATATAACATAATAGCATATCTTCCAGTGATTGTACCGGTAATTGCAGAATGCATTATCAACTATTTATACCTATATCAATATGTTTGCAAAATACAATTTCAAACATTGGGGACTTCACAAAACAGTATTACCTGATGTTTCCTCATGTACCTTATTACGTGCCTTCCTTTCCACAATTTTTTGCACTAATGGCTTGGGGGGTAACCAACAATATCAACTACTGCCAACTTGAAATAGTCAGGCTTTGTAATTATTATAATTCACACCTGTTTTGATGACTAGACTGCATTCAGAGACATAGCAATCCTAGGCTGTTATAATAAAATTTAAATTTTTGGATTACCAACTGGTGTGTTTGCAGTCAAAGCTGCAAACACACCAGTCTTTGACTCCAGTTGGTTCCAGGTGATGCTGATACTGTTATTGTTTGTGTCTACAATGTTGATCTCATCTGGAGGGGCTGGAGCTGTAGATTAATACATCTTGTGTAATTTATGATTAATAATATTTCATATCAATGCAACTGTGACAGTAACATTTAAAACTAACTCTTCATCAGTGATCGACAGTAGTCACATTCTGTACCTGTATAGCCAGTATACTACCACTCTACGGCGTACCCTAGCTGCCTGGCGTAACACACCTATAGTAAGCTTCACAGGCAAATGGCACAGCGGCAGCTGGCTTACATCAGACATTGATTTGGACATCATACTACAGTACTCCAAGTATAATATTTTATCGTGCTTACTTGTCCTCAGCTGCACTGTACTTGCTGCATTCCCAATCTCATCCCCAGCAGTTGTGACACTGATATTGTACAGGGTCCCAGGTGTCAGGTTGATGAAGGTGTACTCTAATGGTGCTCCATCACCCACTCTTCCAGTAGGGTTGTCACCATCAGGAGGAGTGATGCTGATACTGTAGTCTTTGGTTGCAGATGCATCTGCCCAGGTGATGCTGATGCTGTTCTCTGTCACATCTGATGGTGCAATCCTGATGTCACCAGGCTTGTCCAGTGCTGTAGAGATTGATAGCAATTATATATTATCAGTTTTATCCTATGGAATGACAGATGGTATTCAAATGGAACTAGGATGTTCATGCAACATACATTTCAGACATAAAGGTGCAACATGCACTGAAGAGTGTTCTGACATCTTTTACACAGCATCAAATTTGAATGTGTGTGAACATTATGATTGTGTAGTTTTTAGTTGATATCTGAGTGCTAAGCATCACTTCATCTTTTAACTTACACTTGATAGGTGCATCGTCTTCATGCTCATGATCCTTTTCGCATGAGATCTCAATGAAATCTTCCTCTAAGTCGAATGTCACTGTGTCTGCAACTGGAAGAGGGCGTAGATACAAATGTATATGGGTTTACGGAAAAACTTGGGTGCCTGCCAGACAAGGCTACCTGGCCTGGGTAGCATGTCACGTTATAAATTATCAATTTATAAATTAGAAAATATCATTTACAATGATTTGTTATTTAAAAAAGCTTTCTGCCTTGTACTAGATAAACAGATGGATTTGAAATGGAAATTCTGCAGCAGACTATTTGGAGATCAATGTTACTGGCATATTGAACCAAAAATAACAAGCATAAAGTGTGTGACATGTTTTAAGCCTGGAAACATATCCAAACAAGAATAATAATTTCTAGTATTAAACATATAAAATGTTTCTTTACCTGGAGAAAATTTGAAGGTGATTTTCAGTTCAAGAGATTCCAGTCCAAACTCTTTCAGCAAAGCTGGATGAAACACTTGACTCTGCAACCTGGTCTTCAGACTCTCAATGCCTTCCTCTTCCTGCAAATGATCTGCAAATTCATGGTTGAAGCACCCTACCCACAGTTCAATGCAACCACGCTTTATGTCATACACCTGGACCCCAATGCTATTTAGATAATCCACAATAGGAGCCATCCTTTCTTTGTTGTTGACAATGTAGTCGCATAGGCGTTCGAATGCTCCCTCTGAGCCTTCTTCACGTTGTAGGGCATAGTCATCTGCCAACTTCATTTCCTTTGCAGACACCTTGATGATTCCATGGTATGCTGATATGATTAAAAAAAAAAGAAAATAATGCATCATATATTTGTGAACAACCTTAAGCAGAAAGTGAAAGATCCTGGGGGATTCTAATGACCTCAAATTTGTCCAGTTTATTTTTTGAAAGGAATATGTTCTGGGGCTAAACAGAGTTTTCCTCTCATACCTATTTGGCTATTACCAGATGATGGAAAAAAAATCATGAAACCCATGTTTGAAGAGAAGGGGACCTCAAATGTTAAATATTTCTCCTTTATTATTAGGTCATGCCAATATGATATATTGTTTATCAGAATTTCACTGCAGCTTCATTTTTTTATTTGAAAAGATAAATTGAAATATCACATATACAAAATTATGAATCAACCCCAAAATACTCATATTTTGTCACAAACAGTTTTAGAAAGACACTTTGTCTTCCTAGTTGTTACAGATGTTCTACTTATTTTAAGTCTCAGAGCATTTGGCCATCACTCACAGTAATTTGTGTCTATTTTCAATTTTGCCTATCTGTTCCATCAATTTCCTGAAAAGATCTGAAAAGAAATTAAATTGGTGTGGCCTTATTACAATGTACGTATGCCTGATTATGCCAATTTTCCACGTGTATTCCACTGTATGTAGCATTTTCACATACACTAGTTCGTGTTTGTTATATCCTGGATTCCCAGATTTTGCAAAGTGTCACTCACGAATTGCATGTTGTTCCGGTCTCTTCCAAAGAAGACTGACATCAGTTTTCATCGTCTCGATGTTGGGCACAGATTCGGCATCTTGAGTGTTTACCAGTTCAGTGAGGCATTGATCTGTCCTTGCTTCCAGTGATCCCCCATGGGTGCTGTCGTGCAAGTCTCTTGGCACAGACTCACTGTACAGTGATCTAACGCAAATGCCTAGTTTGCCGCTTTTCTCCCTTTTAAGCAGGTCATGTAGATCGGCCAGCTCGCGGTAGATTTCTCCTTTGCGATCCTGTGACCTAGATGCTTCAGCTTCCGTTTCAAGTTCCTCTATACGTGTATACACTTCACCCGCTGTTATTCCAGTGGCTGTTGCAGACCTGTTACCTGTTTCGTCCACAACATTGTATCATGGGGGGACAAAAGCAACAAAAGAGAAATTTTTATGTTGCTATGCTATGCTTTAATGTTCAAATTATTTTTATAAAGGCTTAATCGCCAAGCAGAAGTGACTAACGTGTATTTCTGTACATCTCTAATGTTACAATATATGTCTGTTTTAATACCATGTCAGTTTTTTCATGTTGTATTGTACATTGTTTCACTGGACATCTCGCATTAACATACATGTAGGGTTGCCCTGCCTGCCATAATTGTTCCATCATAATTGATATGGATCAAAAACAGATGTTTTCTATAATTTCTACATGGAATCTGCCAGTTTCTGCGGTATATTTCACCTACCCATATTTCTTTGTAAATGATAAAAAGTATCCATATCATATATGATATATATGATATTGATCATGTGATGATATGGATATGGATGTTTTAAATCATAATTTATATGGATACTGTATGAAGTGAATGAACTTACCTTCCTCATCATCACTTGGACTCTCACTGGTGGTTGGTGATGGGCCTCCGATTCCACTTGATCCAGAGTCATCATGATCAGGCTCCTCATTGTCAAAGACCTTTTCCTGAGTCAAAGATGATGTGTTGTATTCACCTGTGGCAAGAGTGACAAGTGTGAGACTCATGTTTCATCAGCACGTCGGCAGGACGAACTTCACCTGCACTAAACCCGTAATGTACTATGCATAGCACCTCGGTAGAACGTCTCATACCAACTAGTAACTTTATCATTTGCCATACATCGTACCCGTGACAATCGTTCTGCAATAAACTTTGACTTGTCTTAACTATAAGGTCGTATTTGCACAATATAAGGTTAACATCCTGTCTGTGGTTTCCAAATGTTATGTCGGAAAATCTGTCCTCTGCAACAAAAAAAATTCTAATGCAACGTTGACCAAACATCTAACGAAAACCGCAAAAAATCAGGGTTTTGCACAGGCGCAGTATGTTCTGCCGATGTGCTTGTTTCATCATGCTTAAGTTTTTGGCAATGCCTCAGGGGCTAGGCTGATAGTCATATTTATGCCAGTTTCAAGTAATATAGGAGTTTCTTTTAGTATTACTGTAATGTACTAAAAGTCAAATGACCAAGTCGTCTTTTGAGGAAGAGAAATAAATGTCTAAGGGATACAGAAAATGAATCATAATTGATGTAATACCTGTTGAACTCCTGTACAGCTCTTGATTGCTCAGATCAAGTGCTTGGTTAAACTGTTCCATGATGGCTTCTCGTCGGATGCTGTCACTATTTATTTATCTATTTACTAGTCTTTATTTCTGTTTTCTTTAGTCAGGGTAGACCAGCTTAGTGACTTTACAGGTTGTGATGGTCTTCTTTCTTCAGCATTCCTGTGAATGAATATAATATATTGTCATACATGAGCATGTAGGCTGAAAGACAGTGAAATAGTGGGGATAACGCATTTACCATACTGCTATGACATATTGCCCGGGGTTCACAGAAAGTAGGGCAGGTTTTTTCAGAGACTTGAGACCTCAAATCAAGTCAAATGTAATTTTTAACAAACTCATGACAGACCACGATGAGGCTTCCCCAAAACTATTACCCTAACAACAACCACCGTTGCCATGGCAATGTATGTTTTCATTGCCAGTCTTGTTGATATTAGGTGTTTTCAAATCCCCCATGTAGTGCTTTTCAGTAAGGGTGTTCTCAAAATCCTCATATAGTGCTTTCAAGGATTACCTCATCATTTCTACAAATTTTAATATTTTTGACTGCAGGATCCATGCCACCCTTTATCTGCTTGGAGATTGTAAATGTAAGGTCAGTTGGCACCAAAAGTTGAATCCATTGAACAAAATAACAGGGGAAGAAACATAAATAAAAACAATATTTTTCATCCATATACTTATGTTATGTAGTGAAATATAACTAAAATTTAAAAATACAACAGTTAAATAGGTAACATCCCATAGTTATTGGTAAGGATTTAGCATAATGCGAACTTTTGATTTTCAAGATTAAAAATATCCATGATATGGACTGAAATAAAGACAACTTTTCTCCATAAGGCCATGTTGATTTGATTATATGGATGACATCCGCGCGCGCATGAATTTTCGGCCGTTTCCAAAAAAAAAAAAGTTTTCAACCATACTGTAAATCGTGCAAAACAGTTGCTAAATGAGCCAAAGTATACCATAAGTTGCAAGGAAAACATTTAAAAACGATACCAATGTCGTAGAATGCCAAAATCAAAGGAAAAAGGACAAAAATGTAAAGAAATGAATTCGAAGAGTAGATTATTCGCCATAACATATTCTGTGCCATTTGTTCCACCTTCTTGACCACGTAGATTTCATAATGAAAGCAACTTTTTTTTTTGCAAAACTTTTTTTTATTCACACGCGCGCATCGGGGTTCCCAGAGGATGTCATCCATATAATCAAATCAACATGGCCTAACCATTGGGAAATGATAAAACAACAACATTTACCAAAGCTATAAACATGTCGTTATTTGGCTCCTTTTAAAAGTTGGGGATTCTTATTCCTTAGCTTATTTGGAGTTATTTGGGCTCCTCTTAGTGGACACGTGACCGCGCCGGCCAATCAGAACGCTGGGTTTTGCAAAACTTTCCTTTATGCTTAGGTCACATTTGAAACGGCGCCCGTTCGGCATGTCCTCGGCGTAGACGCCGGCCGGCGTCATGACGCCGAGCGTGCGCCGTACTGTTAGGGTCACAATCAAATGTTCCTTTACGGCTCCCTGTCGGGGCCTGCTGGTGCTCCGGCCGGCGGCTCTCATTAATATTCATAAACTTTTGCGGCCGGTTTCTGTCAGGGACCCGTCCGGTGCCCGGTCAGTCGCCCGTCTTGACCCGTGCGGCGTGTGGTAGGGTGCCGACCGGCTCTTACAGTTCGGCCGGGCAGCTGTCAGGTCCCTGGCGGGTTCCTGGCAGGATCCCGACGGGCTCCTCTCGTGTTTTTGAGCAGGTACATACATAAGCGCTGCACTGCCTGCTACCGTTCACTTCAAGTAAAGAGTACACGTCAAGTAAAGAGTAGACTGAAGTTGGCGATGCAGCGTTCAGTGCAACCTGCAAACAACTTACAAGCCCGTCTGAGATTGAGATTGGTGACAACCTACATGTAGGTCTTCTGGCATTGGTAGCTGAAGAAGAGAGGCAGGCAGAACTGGTGCGTCGCAAAAGTAACCGAGGGCCTACTTTCGAAAATACTTCAGCAGTGACGCAGGAAGTATGCCGTGGCAGCTCCTTGCTGTTGAGCAATAAAACCACTGAATATCGTTACTTCTGTTGAAATTTGGACTGAAAATAAATGCCAATAACTTCTGATTCCATTTCATTACGAAGGCATATGATGTAACAAGAGATAATGTCAGACACATTCTATTCCTGTTATGATCTGTTTTATGAAGTTGGCAAGAGAGCCGTGCCGGCTGTTTTCCCTTGCCCTTCGACATTCTGACACACAAATACAAGGTGTAACACACACACAAGTACACGATGTAACACACACGTGGTGAACTGTGCGACGTAGTCTGAACAAGGATTTTATATATGCTCCCTATAACCCCCTATTCCTGACCATCTGATGCACTGATCAGCACATGTGACGTCATAATCTTAGGCAGGTGCCTGTTCGGCCGCCCGACGGGTCCCGGGCAGTGAGGTTACGTCGTCGCTTCGGCGTATTTCGCCGAACGGGGCCCGAAGTGTTTTTAACTCTGAGTTAAAATCGATTCGGCGACCGCGCGGGGCCAAAAATAGGCCGGCAGCCGTCGGGAAGCCCGCCGGTCTCCGTCCAGGTCCCGTTCGGTAGTGCCAAAAAACACGCCGAACACGCGCCGAGCGGGCCCCTTTCTTGAATTGTGACCTAAGCATTAGGTGGCGATTTTGCCTGCTCTTAGGCTTGGGTTGCCTCGATAGGTGGGGTTGGGGGGTTGGGTAACAGGTGCATAGAAATCTTTATCATGCAAATTAGGGGACTTACCTGACTCATAGTCCAAAAATATCTTGGACTTTCCAATGACGGAGGTAAACGACGGTTTTATATTACTTCGCTTTGGCGGGAACAACGAGCACACTTGTTGCTTCCTCTTTCCTTTACCCACTGACACGTAAATAAGGCTATCAAGACACACTTCACCTAAAGCATAGTCTCCACCAGACTTCTTTTGCGGGTTGATAAATCGTACAAATGTAGAAATCGGCCTAAAAAGGGTATTAATTGGCCAGAGAAGGTAGCCGGCCAGAAAAGCTTCAGTCGGGCAAATGGAGCTTCTCTTGCCGGCTACCTTCTTTGGCCAATCAATACCCTTTTTAGGCCGATTTCTACGACTTATTCAGCCCGCAAAAGAATTCTGGTGGAGACTACCTAAAGTACACGTCAAATCAACCGTCTTCGAAAGTGAAACTAGTTTATTTCAATGCATATATAATATATTACATTTTGTGATCCATGGAGTAGTCATTTTGACAAAGTATCGTCAAATTGCATGCAAGGGCAAAACATTCCTCAAACAAAATATGCCAGGCAGTTATCTTTAATGGTATTTGCAATCACACGATATACATTGTAGTCATTGTAACGCACGTTTCTGCAGTAAAAAACGCCATAGTGAAGGTAGGACGGGGACCTCATCAATTCAAATATATTCAAATAAACAAAACGGTACTCACCTTAGTTTTGGCACTAAGCTTTTTAGGCCGTTTGCTCGTCTTGTTGATTGCACTAAAACCATATGGCGTGGGCATGGGCTTCTCGACTACCAAAGTTCACTGGAAACAGTTCTTGAACTGACGAATGAACGATGACGCAGCTAGTAAAACCCTGCCCAGGGAAGTTTGATTTTCAATCTGCTTGCTCTGTCCGCTCTCCCGAGTCTGCGTCCAGTGTATTGTCTCAAAACTTCAAACCGATCTAAATCGTCACTGAAACCCAGAGAAATGTTCGCCTGTGGCAAGGCTACACACAATGGTTGGCACGTCCAAAATGGCGCAATTTTCCTGAGCTCCCAATTGTCCAAGTTCGTCCACAGTTTTCACTGCTTTATGGTTAATTTAGCCCTCAACAAGCAGGATTACAGAATATCCCGGCGACTTTGTCAGCGAATTGACTAATTCCTAAGAAATTTTCGCATACGGCGCGGCCCTGCGCAACGGTCGCCACACACCGTGTTACAGGCCTCCCAAGATCCCGGGAACAGAGGGAGCGGCGCGCGCCAACCGCAGACCTTTATACCTGTCCGCGAAGTCCTATGGGAAGGGGAGAAGTCCCTGTCGGAAAGTACCGACTGTGAACATGACCGAAGAACATATCACTCCGCTCTTGTTTTGTACATGTATTTGTTTCTTTCTGTTTTTTGTTTTAGGTAACACGTATTGTCGACTATGTCTTGCCTTAAGCTTGGGCTTGATATATGGATATCTTGAGTCAGTTTGATTTTTGTTTGATGAACATTTAGTCCTCACCACTGCCCGAGAGCCAGCCAGAGCCAGATCCCCTTAAGAACCGTCTGCCCAGGTGCCATACCTGGGACGTTCTGCTGATGGTAGTTTTTCTTTAATACTAGTTGCTATCGAATCAAGCAGCTTAAAAATCTTGATTTTTGTGAACATTAAATATCACAAAATCATTAGAATTAACATTAATAATTGATTTTGTGAACAACAAAAATCTTGATAAGGCGCGAGGCCCTCTGGGAAGGGGGGAAGTCCCTGACGATATGAAATGATCGGAAAGTCCCGACGGAGAACACCGCATGCTGAAAAACGTGTTACTCCGCTATTGTTCACTTTCTTCTGTCTCCGAGAAACAAGTTCCCCACAGGATATTTTTCTTATGGGCTCAACATGTTGTCTTTTTTAATATTCAATGTTCAGGTTATGATAGCGAGGGATATTTCTGTATATACATGTACTTTCAACGCCAATGACAACTTGCCGGCTTGGCTATTAGTATTACCGAATTAAAGAATCTTAACATATACGAAGGGCCTACAAAATTCTAAGTAAAACGTACTTTGTAAGGTGTAACATTCAGAGAGCCTGAAACTTGTTCAGATTGCAAGATTTCTCTATTCATATCTTGTGGCCGGAAGCGACGGTGCACTGCAGGCACAGGTGTTTTTGTGACCGGTTAAGTGCGCCACCATGCGGATTTTCACTGCAATGTCCATTCATACGGAGTGGGACTTGGAATTCATGTCATATGGAAAGGGACAATAGTATTTAGAAGATATGGAACGCCCTAACGTGTACAAGAGAAAAGAATTCACAGATGTAAATCCCATCTGCAAATTACTTCCTTGTAGCTGCTCACAATTTAATATTTCTACTGCAGACATCAATTCTTTATACAGGAAAGTTACCTGTGTCACTAGCAATGTTTATTGTATCTTTCATTCAAAATCTTTCCTTCCTTTACCTTTTCACCACTTATTTCAGTATTTGATTTAACATTATGTAATGTAATATCATAATAGATCATTCAGTTCATTTTTCATTGTATAAATGGCCTGGTATATAAAATAACAGACATAGAGCACAATCTTACAAAACAATCTTTCACATCCAACAAAGAAAAGGCTAGACTGTCTATACAGAACACAGGGCCATTCTACAAACCAATCATGCTTTAAATATTAATGGACAGGAGACCATTGATAAAAAAAAAACTGTTTCCTGTTATGTAATTTCCCCCTGGGATCAGTGGACTATAGTAATTTTACAATCTACAGGAAGTGATGAGGAGTCAATGTAGTGTGCTGGATAGTTTGACATAGAGTGAGCCCTCAAAGTCAAAAGTTCCTTCCTGAGCCTATACATGTATATGCATATGGCGCTGTTCTCTGTCTCTGTAGCCCTTGGGCCATACAGTTGTACAGCAGGGAGCTAGTCCACTGGTAGTGGTGTGTTTTTATTTAACTCCCATACTCTTCTCAAATGCTAAGTGTGAAGCAGAGAAAGCAGTATGTACACTAATGTAGTATGTACCATATACGGTCTTTTGTTATCGTATGACTTGGCTGGGGATCGAACTCAAGACCTACTGGATGCAAGACGAACACTCTCTTCACTTGACCATTACACCAGTCCCTCACAATTCAACACCTTATTTTCATTCCATTCTTTTCATTTTGATGGTATAACATTCAATGTTACAGAGGGACCATCTTTTGTAGGGCAGGCTGCACAACTCAATCCACTGTCTTCCATGTAGAGCACATTTACATAAGAAAGGGAAGGTGGTCCTTCCTGTTGTTAAGGTATACAAAATGTTTCCAAAGGTGGAAATGGAAACAGAATAGGGGTTATTTGCAGGGCAAACTCCTCTTTAATTATCCCAATTATCCCAACCCACACAGATGCACCTGTAGTTTACCACAGTTTGAACAGGTGTTATTATACTGCTCCTGCCCTTTAATTTGCCCAATTCAAAGGTAAACCTGAGTCTTCAATATTCTTGTGACCTGTCCTCATATTCCAGTTGTCCAGATTCTAATAATTCCCCAAAAAAGGCTTTGAAATTTATACTATAAACTGGGAAATACACACGTTCTTTGGACACCACTATCACTAATATTCACACACCTTCACAGGAAATGTGTCTTCATGTCGTTGAATTAATTCTTGCACAATTTTTGTGTCTATCCTATTTCAATGCTTTAATGTTTTCAGCATCAAAATACATATAGAATACAACACGGGGTATTCCGTATCGCCCGAGGTATCAGCCCGACCGCAAGTCGGATTGCCCGACGGCCGAAGTGTAGTTTTTGTGTCTATCCTATTTCAATGCTTTAATGTTTTCAGCATCAAAATACATTGTACATATTGAATATGGCTGAGTAAAATTAAAAGTGACATTTACCAGACACTGTAAGATACATTACGCCTCTCTTGACATTGTTGGGGATCATTAACCTTCTCCTTGCTCCATAACCCAGTAACCAACACACCTTTGGAGCTGAATGGCTCCCTTTAGCAGGTGGAAGGTTAATTTAAGCCTGGGATTTTTCCTCCTCACCAAACATGGTGAAAACCAGTCCAGCTGCTTCCCTGACTCACTACAGAGGCCACTTGGGGGTAGACTTAGGGGTTGTTCATTGAATAACTGAATGGTGGTTTTGGGGTCACCAACTATAAGACCAGTTTTTAATTGTAAGAAGTTGAAATGTATAGTTGAGTTGTGACCTCTTGATGCACAATGACAATTTCAGGTTTGAAAAATTTATGATGTTCATGAAAATACAAACCCTTTAACTTATCTCTAGAACAACTATTTAACATTTAATTCAGATTTTGATACCACTCTGATATCACAGTGTGATTGTCAGAGTCAGATGTAAAAATAGTCCTCACGCCATGACACAGTCACTGTGTAAATATAATCTCAACACAGGCCACCAGACAACCATGCCCCTCTGACCCAATGTTTCAACCCATGCTCTACTACATGGCTGCGCATAATCACAGTTTAATCTCAATGTACATAGTAGTATCACTGGGGCACCGACTTGCCTTATTTGGCATGGCTAGCCTGACAGGAATCTTTGTTCAACCTCTGACCCTCTGAATGAGGCAGTTGCCAACCTGTCCGACAAGCTGGTCAATTTGAATAACTCAGGACGGACGGCAAATATCAGTTTATATAGTTATCATTTCAACATTTCTACACATGTATGGTGGAGATTAAAATTTTATATCATGTAGCACAGCAATCATACATTGTGTACTTCATTGTACCCATGTCTTCTGCCAGTTTCTTTCACCACATAATTTTCCTGTTATGCATAAATTATGAGGCCTTCAAGGCACAACAAAAGTTGACATAACAACAGCTAGACAGGACTCTTCTGTTGTCGAATAAACAAGGTGCCGCTCCTACAGCCCAGGCAACGAGGATCCTGGCAACAGCTTCGTGAGAATGAGCGAGGACAATATATTACACCAGGACAGGCTGTATGATAAAGAATTGTTTATTGCACCTGTCTGAACATGTTAGGATCTTTGGAATTTATGAGTTTTGTGTAGGATCCAATTTAAAGCAGGCTGGTTGGTGATGACATGCGTATATTAGTATTCAGCCTTTATTAGAAGATGCCAGTTTCAAATATGTTTATCATGTATTGAGTATAAAAAATCATTTTCCATTGCAGCCTAGTTACCAGTAAAAGGGTTTGGGTGTTGGTAAGCAGGAAATTTAATGTTCAAGAGGTTATTCATTATTTATGTATTTATTAGTACCATAAAATAACATAAATCCCTCACCTCACCTGACCGAACATACAACCAAGGCTGCCTAAACTGGAAAAGGGCTAATCCTGAGTGAGAAGGACAGAAAAGGTGCATAGATTATGTGACAAGACATTCAGAAGTAAAATGTACATGGAATTCTCATGATAGACTGTCATGGATCTCTCTACTGAAAGAGGGCCTGCAAGGGGGGGTCCCGACAACGCTCTACGCTGAATTCGGAAACCGCTCGATTATGCTTTACGATAAATTCCAAGTGGCCACAACGCATTACGTAGAATTAAAACACCGAATACGCTCTACGCAAAAATATTAGAGTGGTCCGTCTACGCTCTACGGAAAAGGGCTTGTGGCCCCCCCTGAAACCATCAAATCTCCAACTCTCCAAGCAGAGGTTTGGGTTATTTTTGGCATGATTTTAGGCTTTTTTTTATTGGGGATTCTTTTTTGCACTGGAATTTTTTTTTTCATCCAACCCAAACCTTTGCTTGGAGAATACAAATCCCCAACCCCAAGTGCATTTCATGGGGTTTATATGTGATAATAAGTGCACTGTGAAATACAATATTGTACCACGGAGTCATCTTCAACTTAATTTTGGGACATTACAGGGAACATTCAGTGTACACAGGAAATTCCAGGGACAGCATATCTGGTTTCTTGGCATCTGATTTGGGTTTTGTTTGAACTTTCTTTTCAACAATACCATCCACGTCAACTGTGATATCTAAATCGATGTATCATGTGCTATTTTCAAATGGTAACTAATGTGCTATTCAAATGGACGTGGGATGACTACATAATACATGTTCACAGAAGTATGTATGGCACTTTTAATTAAACATTACACAGAACAGACATTTGCTGTAGATGCAGTTATACACATGGTAAACTGTACATTTTTAATATCTCATTCTTGGGTTGACATACAGGAACATATTAAATTTTTTTTTACCCTTTTGACAGACGTAAGTACATCCT